CGCTCGGAGCCGGCGCCGTCGGCGCCGCCGCGTCCCCCTTTGCCTCGCCGCCCAAGGCCACCTCGCCTCCGCCGCAGGACCGCAACAACTTCTACAACGTGTCCACGGCCCCTGCTCCCGGTCAATTCTCCTCTACGCCAATTGGCGGCGTGCACTCCGCCGGCGGGCACAATGCGACTCCGGTCCCCGCCGCCGGCGTGGCGGCCATGGCTGCTGCGCGACAGTCCCAGCCCCCGTCTGCCGCGACGACTCCGAACGGCTCGACTGTCGCGCTCCCCAGTGCGCCGACGGCTGCACTCGCGCAGGCCCCGGCGCCAAGCGAGGCCGTCGCGTCCAATGCGAACAGGCAGGCGCAGATCCTCGACGCGACGGGCGCGTACATCACCCCCGGCTCGATGGTGACCGTCATGCACCCGTATGCGGCGCAGATGCCTGACGAGCTGACACTTGCGCCGGGTATGCGCCTCAAGGTCGTCGACCTGTTCGATGACGGGTGGGGAACGGCGGTCGAGGTGGCCAGTAATGGAAGCCAGGGGCGGAGGGGCCAGTTCCCTACTGTGTGTGTGCAGGCGAGCTCGTAAGTCGAGCCGGCGAGCCGGCGAGCCGAGCGAAGCGAGGCTGTCCCGACCAGATGGGCGAGCTGCTAGCGAACGTCAACGTCTGCACACTGGTGCTTAGTGCGGAGTGTGGAAGGGACACGGAGATGGGTGTACTTTAGCATTGATTGAATGATACATGGACAATTGGCATTGCACGCGAGCGAGCGCAGCGAGCGAGTGTGCTGACTTGGAAAAGGATGGCAGGAGAGGTGTTCATTCCGATAGTGGTACAGCAACGTACAAGAGATACAACACTAGTTCTACAGGTTTTATACAGCTACACTATGCTCTTTCACTTGGCATGTTAATACTTTCGTCAAAGACTCTTTGTGTCGAGGTCAATTCGTTTCTTCAAAGGTTCGGGGATATGCGGCATTGGTTGTGCAGCCCCCAGTCTCCTCGGTGACAATGGTGGCAGTTAGGAGTGGTATCTTGAATCTTCCGGGGGTTGGTCAAGTGACTCTTGAGCTGCTCACCTCGGCAGCTAGGCAGAGGCAACACGCTAGTCACCGCCACAAAACCCGAGCATCCACGGCACGCTCTCGACGACCCCTGGCGGCAGGAGGCCGGCAGACATGAGGATCTGCCCGCCCACATTCAGGCGCACGGCACACCCACACGCCGCGCAGAACTCGCGCAAAAGCCGGCCGCGCCAGTGTCCGCTCAGCGTGCCTGTTGTCGTGACGTCGGCTTCGGCAAAGCTGGCGAGGTGTGCGGCGCTGGAGGGATGTCAGCGTTGGTCTTTTGGGGTGATTACCTCTCCCATCCGTCCCATCCGTCGTGGTGGCTTGGCCGTAGCAGAACTGGTGTGATGGGGGATGAGAGATGAGAGACAGGCAGAGACAGGCAGAGAAGGGATACTCACAGACCACCACTGAAGCGCCGGCAGCACGCACACTGGCACACCACCAGATACCCCGGCTCCTTCCGCACCGTCACGCGCACGTTGCCACAGTTGCACGTCGCGAACACGGGCATCCGCGGCGGGGGCGGGAGGTTGGCCAGCGTCATGGCCGCGGGCGAACTGCCTGAACCAGAGCCGGTTCCGCCTGTACCACTTGGTCCGCTTCGGCCCAGAGCGGCGGGGCTTGACGTAGAGCCTGAGGGGATGGGAACAAAGGAGGCTGCAGCTGAGGCGAGAGGCGTCGAGCCGGGCAGGGAGCGCCGCCGCCGCCGCCGCCGCCGCCGCCGTCGAGGACGCGAGCAGCGTCGCTAGCGTGGACAGCGCCTCTGCGTCGTCCCCGCCCAAGGCCTGCGAGGTCTGGCCGTGCTCCGTTCGCCGAGACCCCGTTTGCCGACGCCGCCGTCGTCCCCGTCATGCCGCTGGTCTCACTTCGTCTCTGGTCGTCGGGGATCTCGCCGCGCGGATCACCCGCCACATATCCCGTACTCCCCGTCGACGTAGTTGCGAGGGGTGACCCGGCCAGCTCCCGACCCCCTGCACCGGCAGCACCGGCAGCACCGGCAGCACCGGCAGTGGGCGAGGTACCCAGAGCCAAATCCGGCGTCGACGGCGTGTTCTGCGGCGGCACGACGGGTTCGGGGCTCGGTGAAAGGGTCGAGGAGACAGGCGCGGCGAGGGGGTCGCAGAAGGGCGACGCGAACGCGTTCAGAAACAGGTACGTCTGAGTGATGTCGAGGGGTGGCATGGGGAGGTCATTCCCAAGCGGAGCGAGCGGAGCGTCGAGGAGGTCGAGGCTGAACTGATCAAGTGGGTCTGGCGAGGTGAAGCTCTGCGAGTTGGGAGACACGGGGTAGTCCGAGCTGGCTGAGGTCGAATAGTCGAGCGAGCTCGGAGGACTGGTAGAGTAGGAGGAGAAGGGGGGGAGGGGGAAGGGAGAAACGGGGGAGTGGAGTTGGGCGAACGTCTTGGATGACTTGGCGTGTCGCCGTGGTTCGGAGTGGGAGGTAGAGGTTTTGTTGACGTTGATGGAAAGATAACTCGAAACAATGATGAGGCGTCGAGAAATTCGTTGATCGATCGACAATGCGACGCGACGGGTTATACGACGGATTTAGGCTGAATCGCGCGATTGGGCGGTTGTTCCTGAGCCAGTAGTTGTGTTGGGAAGACGAGTGGAGTCCCACGGACGACGGCGTTCGAGTCGGGCTGAACGCAGACTAGAAAGTCGTTGGAGGGGAGGGGTAACGATCTTACCCAGAGGTAAAGGCCGATGGGTAGTTGGTGCAGGTTGAGTTGACTGGAGGAGAGTCGACTGGAGAACGGAGTGACCTGTCAAGAGACAGTCAAGAGGTGGCTTCAATCTGGGGAGAGGTAGGGAGCGAGTCACTGTGGTAATTGGAGGAGGAGAGTGGGCTCCGGCGGCTTAAGTAGTCACAGATGCTCGAGGCCGTGTCGGAACAAATGGCGGTCCGAGCTGATGGGCGGCAGGGGCTTCACCTTCGTGAAGGTGTGTGCTGAGGAGGGATGGGCTTGTTGTCTAGCTTGGCTACCGATGACTGAGTGGTGTTCACTTGTAAGGATGTTTATAGCTTCTCTGAAAGATCTCTGGAGGAGAGAGAGAGCAGGTTGTCACCGCTCCGTCGCCGAAATATATGATCTCCCCGTGTGTGCACTACGTGCATCGGGACAGAGGAGTACCCGTCTCGGAGCGGTGCCAGTGCTGGTGACAAACAGACAGTCACTCTGATGATCGGTGACTATCAACGCGCATCTGCCACAGAACAGCCGAGATGCGAATCATCCCGACACCTCCCGGTTTGCCATCTCCTCTCAGCCAAGCAACCCAAAGTCCTTTCCGAGCATTTGGGATCCATTTGCATGCAACCGAGGCCCCACCATGCTTAATGCCCGCTCTCTGCAGCTCTATATCCATGCTTTCAGCGACATGTTGCCTTGTACAGTGAGCCCTTGAGTCGAGCACATGACTCGTGTCGGGAAGAGTCGGACACGGGCAAGTGGTGATTTGGTTTTCGAGTGCCCGAGATTACTGATCGCAGTCCTGGCCAGTTCCGAGATTACTGATCTCCAAGCCCCTCGGCACTTGTTTCGGCGAGCCTCACAGCTCCACAGGATGCCAAAGCACTCGGCACGTTTCCCGGCGCCAGCACTATACCCTGCATGCGAGTGGCCAGTTGCGCCAGTTTGGCCAGGTTCGGCTTCGAGCGAAATGGAAGGAACAGAAACGTGCTTGCGATTAGACTCGCGGGCTCTACTCCGTTGGAAGAGCATCATTTGACCACTCCGCGATTTGGTATTGACCCCTCCGCGGATTCACCATGCGGCCCGCGTAGGTGACACCGCATTTGGTATCGCTTGCAAGCTCCGCCAGGCAGTCTCCGAGCCCGCCACCCAGCCGCAAGGTGACGACTCGAGCCCCGAGTCGGAGAGCCTGCTTGCACCAATCACTCCTGCGTTTGCTGGCGTCTAAGTTGGGTCGGATGCAGATCACGCCCATCCCTCCTCTTCCTGAGTTCACACCGCTTGCCATCACTCGCCACCTCACTCAGCCTCCTCTGACACAAGTTACTGGACAACTCCGAATGAGCTGCCCGTCGGCGACACGATGGCTGAGATAAGCCAAGAGGAATGCTGGTCCGCAATTTCGATTATCGGAACAGCGAGGCGTTGCTGCAGATATGTAGATCTCCATCTCCCTAGGTGAGTCACTGCATCGAAACGACGTCACTCCATTGTCGCTCGGCATGCTTGGTTACAAGCCATGGCGGGAGCTCCACAATCAACAACGGCGACTGTGGGGATGGAGCGAATAAGAGCATCGACGTTTGCGATGGTTTCCGAATGTTGGAATGCCGAGGCGCGTCACTGGCCGTGTTCCTTCACGCGGAATGCCATGACTCCCATGTCTTTGAGATCTACTGTAAGCACCGTTCGTTAGGGGCGTGGTGTCGAGGAAGAGCTGTAAGGTAGGGCGAGAAGGCTCCAACAGTTTGGGCCGCCCCGGATGTGGTATGCGTACACGCTGTCGGAGGAGTAGGAAGCGAGGAGCACTCCGTGGTTTGCGCGGGTCCGCTTGAGAGATGCTTGACGCCGACGGCCAGGCATTCAGGCACGTGCTGATCATAGACGTGCCGGACGGATCTGCGCCAAACTCGAGAAACTACTGTTAAGCTTGTGCCTTCGGCATGTTGAATGTTGACTTGGCTCGTCGGTATCTGCAACGACCAACTCCGGTGACTTGTCACCTCTCCATCCTAACTGCAATAGCTCCGCCATAGCTTGGTTGCATGTTCGGCGGTCAGCGATGCGCCCGGGGACAATGACGGCCGCACCAGTTGAACGGCGGCGGCGCGGCGGCGGCGCGGCGGCGACCACCGCCGAGCTCTGATCGCAGGAGACCGCCGATCCTGATCAGCTGGGCCACGCTGTATGCATCCCCCACTTGGTCCTTCTACATATCGAAGCATAAGTACAGCTTGTGTCGTTTCAAAACGAGTTCTAATGCATGAATCAGCGGCCTCCGCAGAGTGCGACTGGCTGACTGTTCGATGCACGAGGGCTTGGGGCATAACCGGTGACGGTGATAGCCGGTCGGTCATGTCCGCGCTGGCTGGCCTGCGCCGCCCACCAGTGGGCAACTTTCGTCACTTGGCGCGATACTTAACCTTCCTACTCCTCTCCGCATCGACTTCCTCCCTCCTAGCGTCTCACAACACCCCCCTTCTACACCTCCTACACTCCTTCCAAAAAACACACGACACAATGGCCCCCAAGGACATGGCTCCCGAGGTGATGCCCGAGCTCGGCGTCGACACCCTCTTCAACCTCCGCGGCAAGGTCGCCCTCGTCACTGGCGGTGCCACTGGAATTGGTCGCATGATCGCGGCCGGCTACGTGCGCAACGGCTGCAAGGTCTACATCGCGTCCCGCAAGCTGGCGGACCTGCAGCGTGTCGCCGACTCGCTCAACCCCGTCGGCAAGGAGACTGGCGGTTCGTGCCACGCCATTCAGGCCGATGTTGGTGACAAGGCGGGCTGCGATGCTCTCGCTGCCGAGATTGCCAAGCGCGAGACCTCGCTCGACATCCTCGTCAACAACTCTGGTCTCTCGTGGGGTGCTCCCCTCATCGATTTCCCCGAGAAGAACGGATGGGACAAGACGTTCGCCCTCAACGTCAAGGCCCAGTTCTACCTCACCGTCGCCCTCCTCCCCCTCCTCGAGAAGGACAAGACGAACATCCGCCCCGCGACCGTGATCAACATCGCCTCCGTCGCCGCCATCTCGGCCCAGGCTGAGGGCGCGCTCTCCGCCCCCGGCTCCGGAACCTACTCGTACCAGCCGTCCAAGGCCGCCTCGCTCCACCTCACCAAGGTGCTGGCCACCTCCCTTGCCCCGAAACACGTCAACGTCAACGTCATCCTCCCCGGTGTCTTCCCTTCGCGCATGACCTCGTTCGGTCTCCAGAACTCCGAGGACGCCCTCGTCGCCAACCAGCCCACTGGACGCGTCGGAACCAGCGAGGACATGGCCGGTACCGCTCTCTTCCTTGCCTCTCGTGCGGGCGCTCACTGCACTGGCACGGCAATCACCGTCGACGGTGGCTCCGTCCTCGGCCGCACTGGTGCCAAGCTCTAAGCGAATCCGAGCGCAGCGAGGCGCCTCATCCGTCGACAGCAGTTCGTCAGTAAAACGTAGGAAGCTCATGTAACAATATTCTGGTATACACATACATACTCACTTGACCTAGCGACTACAACGATGATCTCCTCTGACACTGTCTATTCACTATATTAGAGCTTCAACGGAATCAATACTTTCGACGACACTAGTAAGCCTTCGGATCGACCTTGACGACGACCTTGCCCGCGGCGTGGCCTTGACCGAGATGCTCATACGCGGCGCGTGCATGCTCCCACTCCCAGGTACTGTCGACGACGACCCTGATCCTCCCGCTGGCGAGGTAGTCCATGACCGTCTGCCTATCCTGACGGCTCGGCTTCATCATGCTGACGCCCTTGTAAACACGTCCAGTGCCGCCAAGCCAGGTACTCTGGGGCAAGTACTCGTTGGCCTTCATCTTGATGACGGCGCGGACAAAGTCGAGCACCCAGAACGAGGGCGGGCGCACGCCCACGCTCTCGTACACGCCATGCGGGGCGAGATACTTCCCGCAGCCCGTGTAAAGAGCCTGCACGCCGAGACAGTCGAAGGCGAAGTCGAAGGGCGCGCACGCGTCGCCGAGGTGCGAGGCGAGCGCGGGATAGATCGTGTAGTCGACCATCTCGTCCGCTCCCAGGTTGCGCACGAGGTCAAAGTTCTTCGCGGACGTGATGGCCGTCACGTGCACGGGCTTGCCGAGCGTCTTGAGCAGCTGCAGGAGGAGATGGCCTATGCCCCCGCTCGCCGCGTTGAGGAGGACACGGACGGGGCGCGTCGCTGAGCCGTTGCCCTCGCCGACGAGGTTCATCAAGTTCGACTCGGCGAGGAGCGGCTGCGTCTCCTCACCCCCACCCCCTTCCTCCTGGGCGAGCTCGGCAGTGCCGGTTTTCTTGCCTGAGGCCGGGGTGCCGTTCTTGTGCGCTGCAGCGGTGGTAGTGGTGGGCTCGAGGGGGTGAGCAGCCGGGTCAAAGTCGAGAATGCCGCTCTGGCGGAGCATGGCGTCCGCCGTCATGCCGGCCAGCATGACGCAGGAGGCCGACTTGAGGTCCACGTGCGCGGGGACGCGGACGCAGTACTTGGCCGGAACGGCGATGATGGCCTGGAGCGCGCCGACGCCAGTGGGCAGGCAGAAGTCGGCGGGGAGCATACCTGCGACGCGGTCGCCGCGCTTCCACTCGCTCGCCGTGTCAGTCTTGTCGGCGTGCTTGGCCTTGCCCTTCTTGTTCTTCTTGTCCTTCTTCTTGTCGGGCTGGTCGGACTTGTCCTTACCCTCTTCATCCGAGGAGGACGACGAGGAAGACGAAGAGGAGGACTTGGAGCCGGCGCGCTCGCGCTGGGGAGGGTTGACGGCCTCGGAGAGGTCGATGGGCTCGATCGACTCGAGGGGTTCCGCATCAGCCTGGGCCGGGTTGACGCGGGCGGCCATGGCGGCCGCCTTGGCCTCGGCAGCCGTAGAGGGCGGATAAGGGCGCGGGGAAGGAGGGGCGTCGGGCGCCTTCTTCATCCACTCCGCACCTGCGGCGCCCTTGGCCGCCTTCGCCGCGTTCGCGTCCGGACTCCACGCGTCCAGCACCTCGCCGGCAAACTCCATCTCGGGAACGGCCTCTCTCTGCCTCATCGCGGGAGGGACGAGGGTCATCTGGAAGATGGAGCCGGGATTCAGGCCCGCGTACTCGACCGAGATGAGGAGCCAGGGCTCGTTGATCCCGACAGCCTGCGCGAGAGGGAGGGGCGGGGGAAGCATTGGCGTAGGGACGACCGTTTCGTTCAGGACCGTGGAGGGGAGACCGCGGAACTGGTACTGCCATGCGTGGGTGCGCGCACTGTGGGCGGCGTTGGGCAGAGTCGGCACCCAGGGGAGCGCGATGTGGTGCTGTGGAGTCGACATGGTGGGTTTGCACTGCGGTGAGAGGGTGTGCAGTGGGGATGCAGAGTCAGCGGAGAGTCAGTGGGACAGGCCCATGATTATATGCTCGGTAGCGGGCAAGCAGCAGGGATGCAGACCGAGTGTGAGGGAGCGAGTTGTGACACGACCACACAACAGTGACGAACATGCCCGGCACGGTGACCGGCACTTGCGGTGAGATCCAAATCGGCTCCCGAATCTGGGCACTTGGCATTCCACACGGCTGCTGTGTGCGGGGCGGGTCACCTGCCGATGAACCGGTGTGTTCGCCGCAGTCGTCGTTGCATGGTGTTGGAAGAGGGACATAGTTGGAAAGTGTGTAGAAGAGTGCGCTAACGAGAGTACGCATCGATGCAGAGCGCCGTGCACACCGCCCCACCGTCATCGTGCACTATCTGTTGCTCGCGGCTGCCAGATCGTCTGACAGGCCCTCACGTCGTTCCCTTCCGATGTAACAGTCCACTACTCTGTGAGATCAAGTCGTACGTCGGACATCGAGGAGTGCGTGGTGCATGTCCTGCTGTCCTGGGGTCAGTGAGATGAAGAACTGGAGGCTCCGTTGACCACATCTTACTGAGACTCGCCACCAACCAACCGCGCGGTGCATCACGTGACAGGTACGAGAAGATGACGCGAGTCGCGTCGACCGTAATGTCGGCGATGGGCGCGTATTGTTTTCGTTTTTGGAGCATTGACCAAAGTGCGCTGTCGCCTGTATACATCGCCTATCATAACACTGAAACACCAACGATGGACGACGAAACTGCCTAGTGAGCTATCTTGTTCATCCAAGCTGACGTCAGCGAGCAAGAGCGCCGAGAGACGATCGCCGCGAATCGGGCGCTCCTAGCCGAGCTGGGGCTGAACGAGGGGGGGGCCGCCGCGATGGACATGCCTAAGAAGCCTCCAAAGGCAAAACCGGCCTCGAACCCGCGCAAGAGAAAGGCGCCGACGGAGGAAGAACCGAGGGCTACGAGACGGTCGGGACGTATCGCCGGCGTCAAGGCTGATCCGGTGAAGCTGGAGGAGTTTAGGCAGGAGGAAGAGCGTGTGCGCGAGGAGCAGCGTGTGAAGGACCGCCGGCTCCGGGAACAGGTCATGACCGTCGGAGAGCAGATGGAGGAGGACTCGGCGCCTGTTGAGCAGCTCGTCGAGCTCCTCAAGAACATGCCGGTGTGCGAGCGCCCCGATGCCAAAAGCGTCAAGGACTCCTACCCCGAGAAGGAAGGGGACAAGGAGCTCGAAAGACTCAAGGAGCAGTTCAAGGGCATGCACCTCGCTGCGAACAAGAAGGTCACGACGGAGCGCGTGTACACGATGCTCGTGCATCCTGACCCGACAAAGAACCTGGTGCTTGTCGGCGACAAGTACGGCCAGCTCGGCATCTGGGACGCGCCGACGGGCGAGGCTGCCGATGCCAAGGAGGAGACCAAGCCCGACGTCAAGAAGGAGGAAGGTGAGGAGGCTCAGGAAGAGGACGAGGACGGCCGCGTTTGGCGTATGCAAGCGCACGCGAAAAACAGCATCAGTTGCATGAAGGTGGATCCCGTCAACGGGCAAAGTGTGAGTTTCTTGCGTAGCTTCGACTAACGGACACTCGCAGCTAGTTACCTCGTCTTACGACTGCACATTACGGCGGCTCGACTTCAGCACTGGCGTGTCGACGGAGGTCTTCGCGTTCGAGGACGAGGACAACCTCATCAACCACTTCGACCTGGTCCCTACGGGTCAAGAGGCGTGGCTTGTTGACAAGAACGGCGGCATCTCGCACGCGGACTTCAGGGAGAAGGGCGAGCGAAGACGATGGGAGGTGCAGGAGGCGGGACGCGGAGCAAAGCTCGGCGGGTGCAGCGTGAATCGTGAGTCTTGTGGACCCCACTCCACGACGTCTCTCAGCTATCAGACTAGACCAGAAGCTAACAGGCCAGCGCTCATGCCCCACCTCTTAGTGACAGCGGGCAACGATCAGCACGTCCGAATCTGGGACACGCGGCATCTGAAGAAACTGAGCCCGAAGTCGGTCGAGACGATACTTCCTCCGAAGCAGGAAGAGGGCAAGGAGTACATCGACACGCATTGCGAGAGCTCGATCCCTTACGAGCGCATGCAAGGGTACATGGAGAGCAAGTCGGGCAAGGGACTTCTCCGCGCCTCGTACCAGCACGGCAAGTCGTGTTCAGCGGCATACTGGGACCCGTTTGGGCGACGCATCCTGACGACAAGCTACGACGACAAGCTGCGAGGTATGTGGTGTTCCGCTCATCCCAAGGAGCTGTGACAATGTGTGGTAAAATTCCAGCTAACACGCCAGTCTTCAATGTGAATCCGCAACAGCTCATGTTCGACACGCCCCTGCCAGCGTCGCAGTTCAAACCAACAAAGGCGATTGCGCACAACTGTCAAACGGGGCGGTGGCTGACGATCCTGCGCGCGCAGTGGAGCCAGAACACGGAGTTCACGCCCCACTTCTCGGTCGGAAACATGAAGCGCCGTCTCGACGTTTTCTCCTCGGGTGGAGAGCACATCGTCAGTCTTTGGAACGAGGCCGTCACTGCCGTCCCGGCTGTTACGGCCGCTCATCCAGCACACGTCAATCGACTCGTGGGCGGCAACACGTCTGGAAGGATTCAGTTGTGGACGAGCGGAGCGGAGTAGAGTGGCGAACGAGGGGTGAATGTATCCTGTATTATTAGTGCTTCTTGGTCCATGCAGCATCTTGATCTCTGCAGCCGCGGTTCCGCCGTCCTGATCAAGCGTCCTTTGCTTCGCCTGTCGTGAGCAACCGTCGTACTCCAGTAGAATACACGATATGCATAGTGCATCTCTACTACTCGCCCCAGCGAGGGACCGTCTAGAACGCCGCAGCGGAAATAAGCTTGGTGAGCTCTGCCTGTCAGTTGAGGATCTCGAATATGTCAACCCACGGTTCAGCTCGACCTTCTCCTTGACGACGCCAGCCTTGACGTCGTTGTCACCGTTACCCGGGATGGCGGCGATGTCGCCGTTGATCGTCCATCCGTGGCTCTCCGCCCACTGCTTGACCTCGGCGTCCTTCAGGTTGAGCCAGCGCTGCAGCTGGGCGACCTTGACGTTACGGAAGGAGGCAGCAATGCTAGAAGCAAACTCGTACCGGAACTTCTCCTCGAGCCCCTTGTGCGCGGGGAAGTAGCTCGGGTTCTCGCGGAGGATGCGCGCGGCGTCCGACGACGAGTTGAACAGCGTCCAGAACTTGGTGAACTGGCACGTCCGCACGAGGTCGTGCAGCTGCTGCAGGAACGGCATCGTCTGCAGGAACGTCTCGTCCTCCGAGTCAATATCCGAGAGGATCGCGCTCGGCTCGCGCAGAAGGGAAAGGCACAGGTTGAAGTCCGGTCCGTGGACCGTCGAGGAGAGAGACTTGATCAGGATGTTCAGGATCACGTCCGGGTTCGAGAGCTGCGGGTTGAACTGGTACCTGTGATGTTAGCTTGCGAACCTTTCCTGAAGCGTGGGTGATCGTAGAGGGGGACGGACGTGAGACGTCCATCCAGAAAGATGCACGTTCGAGAACAGCTCGCGATCCCCGGACATGGTTATTGTTCCTCGATCGCGCGATGTCGATCGCTCCCTCCACCAGCCCAACTCACAGCTTGAGGATGGCGAGGTTGGCGAGGAGGTCGTACTCTCCGTTCTGGACCTGCTGGGTGAGGTAGTCCTCCATGAAGCCGAGGTTGGAAGGGTTATACCGGTCTGGTTGTCAGTTGCCGGTCAACATGATACAACGCCTAACTCACCGACGCCGTGGATGAGCTCGTGGATGACCTCGGTGCGGGAGGCGGGAGTGTGCCACTCCTTAAGGTCCTGGACGGGGACGGGGGTCGAGGAGGTCGCCATTTTGAGATGTGCGGTGGGTGTCTGGCGACTTTTGGGAGGTGTTGAGTCTATCGATGCGCTCGAGCTCGCTGGTCGTCACTCGCCGTGCTCGACATTGATTGTTCGTCGACCGCCAGGCGAAAACGGGAGCAGAACCTGCATCCCTCACGTGCCTTATCAAAATCAACAGAGCACTTTACACGTCTTTCAGTAGCCACGTGGCGAGACGCGTCTGAGGTCCACCGTACGCGATCCACCGGACAGCGGTATGCATCATCGACGACCCTGTCGCCGCTGTTGACGTTGGACCAACGACACACCCTCGACAACACCGACACCGACACGCTCTCCGACACGTCCGCTCCGACTAGACCGACACAGCGGACGCAATGACCACGCCAGCGCCCGAGATCCCCCTCGGCGCACGTGTAGCAGTCCAAGCCGGCTCCGGCTACGTGCGCTGGACGGGCGTCAACCCCGCCTTCAGCGCGGGGCGATGGATCGGCATCGAACTGTAAGCTGAAGACGCCTCTGATAGCTGACCCCAGTGACACGCCGACGGGTAAGAACAACGGCTCCGTGCAAGGCGAGGTGTACTTTGAATGCCGGGCGAACTACGGCGTCTTCGTCCGTCCCAGCCAGGTCAAGGTGATCAACCCGAACCCGCCAAAGACGCGGCCGGGGACGCTCGCGAAGGCGGGATCGGGGTCAAGCGCGAGTAGAATGAGCAGTGGTACGGCGTCGCGCAGCTCGACCCCGGGAAGTAAGCCAGCTGCCTCGACGCCTACGAGAGCCACACCTACACGAACGGCGCCGCGGCAATCCGTCATCGCTCCCACACCACCGAGGACAGGCAGCGCAGCCAGCGCGAGCAGCACGACGGGTGCTGCTAAGCGCACTGTTGCGGCTGGCGGCATTGCACGACCGAGAGCGAGCATCTCTGGCCCTTCTATTCGGCCACCAGGCGCGGCCGGTGCAGCGTCTAGGAGACAGTCCACCATCGGCGCCGCCGGGTCGGGATTAGCTGCGCCCACGGCCGGAGACAGGAGTCGACGCACCTCGGTGTCAGACCCGACAAGACGCCAGTCGGTCGCGTCGACGACACCCTCCAGCGGCGCCGCGACACCAGCGAGCGGACTTGCGCAACCATCGCCTCGCAACCCGGCCCTTGGTCTGCCTTCCCCGCAGCCCCGCGCTCAGAATCTGTCTCCACGCCCGCCCTCGGCACGCTCGGCGAGTAGTATTCCGTCGCCCGTTCACAAGGGCTCTACCAGCCTCCCTGCTCCCATCGCGCATCGCCCGCCGATCGCGCGCCAGAACTCGAGCGAGGCTATGCCTCCGCCACCATTGCCTGCTCAGGTAGCTCCGGTGCCCGTGCACGCCGACGGCGGACCACCATCATTGAGCCACCTCACCGCGCCCCTCCCGATCGTGCAGTCTCCCGCACAGTCCCCGACTGTCGAGGAGTATGACCTCGCATCGCCGCCACCGGAACCGGAGCCTTCCCCGCCGGCGCCCAGGTCTATCCCTGCGTCACCTAACGCTACGACATCGCCGCTTCTCTCCCCGCGTCAAGCGCGGAAACTGTCCGTGCGCTCGTCGAGCCCCGATCGTGAGGCTGCTGCTGCTGTCTTTGCCCAGAAACGCGAGCTCGAGGAGCTTCGCATCAAGGTGCGCCTGCTCGAGACGCGCCGCCACGAGGACCAGGAGCGAATCAACCATCTCGAGAAGGTGTCCAACGACGCTGACCAGCTGCATGCTATCCGCGCCAAGCTGCAGAGTAAGTTCACACGCGCGGACCTGAAACTGACAACAGCCAAATTCCAGGAACAACAGCAGGCGCTCGGTAACGCCCAGCGACAGGCTCGCGACCTGCAGTCTGAGAACGCACACATGGAGACCAAGGTGGCCGAATTTGTCGACCAGCTTGAGATGGCCACGCTCGACCGCGAGGTCGCCGAGGAGAAGGCCGAGGCTGCCGAGGCTGAGGTCAGCCGCCTGAACGAGAAGGTGCAGGAGCTCGAGTTAGAGGTTGCTGTGCTGAAGGAGGAAAACGCCGAGTACGAGCGTCCGATCGAGGGACTCGAGGGCGAGCGGACATCACTCGCGTTCGTCCAGCTTGAGAACCACAACCAGCGCCTGAAGGAGGCTCTCATCCGTCTCCGCGACCTGTCGCAGGACACCGAGCGCGAGCACAAGACCAAGATCACGGAGCTCGAGAAGGAGCTCGGCGCTCAGCAGGACGTGTCTGCCCAGCTGGAGCTCGCTGAGGCCAAGCTCGCCAATTCGGAGGCGCAGGTTGAGGACCTGAAGCAGCAGCTCGATGACGCTCTCGGCGCTGAGGACTTGCTCGAGGAGCTTACGGAGCGCAACCTTCAAATGTCTGAGAAGATTGAGGAGATGCGCTCGACGATCGAAGACCTCGAGGCACTCAAGGAACTGAGCGACGAGCTCGAGGAGAACCACGTTGAGACAGAGAAGCAGCTCGAGGAGGAGATCACGCTGCTCACGACCAAGCTCCGCGAGGAGGTGCAGCGTGCTGTCGACCTCGAGGCTGTCGTCGTCGACATGGAGAACACGATCAACCAGTTCCGCGAGCTCGTTGCCAACCTCCAGAGCGAGATCGACACCCTGCGCGTCCAGCAGGCGACGCAGGAGTACGAGTCCGCCACGGCCAGCAAGGCATCGCAGGACCTGCTGAATCTCAACATGAAGCTCCAGTCGAGTGCTGCGAAGACGCTGCGCAAGACGGTCGATCTCGAGCTGAAGAAGCTCGAGGCTGCCCAGCTTACCGAGCACCTGCGCATCGTCCAGACCTACCTCCCCGACGAGTACCTCGACACCGAGGTCGACTCGACGACCGCCCTCCTCTTCTTCCACCGTGTCGCGTCCAAGGTTGAAATGCTTGCCAACGTCATCTCGAACGTTCACGGACTGCCCGGCGCCCTCCACTCTGTCCAGTCCGAGGCACTCGTGGGCATCTGCGAGCTGCGTGGCAAGCTCCGTGCCTTCGCCATCCTCAACCGCCGATTCGCCAGCGTCATGCGCCGTGCTTCCCCCGAGGACTACGGAGAGCTCGGTCGTGTCGTCTCTGAGCTGTCTGGCGTCGAGCCTCGCGTCGACGGCTGGATTGCCATGGCGAAGGCTGACGAGTTCAACGAGGGCGACTGTGCCCGCGAACTCGACGCTCTCATTAGTCAGTTCCGCCACCTGGCCGAGGTAATGTTCGATCGTGGCACGCGCGACGCTGGCGAGCGCCAGCTCGCCCTCGCGTACAGCTTTGAGGACGACCTGGACAACTTCGCCGCTGCTGTTGGCTTTGTTCGCGCCGCTATCAAGAGCCTCGTCGCTGATGGAGACGTGGATGTGGACACTGGCGAGTCGACACTCGAGGAGGCGCTGTACGAGCCTGTGCAGTCGATCCTCAACCAGGTCCGCGCCGTCAAGGCGCCGGCTGGCAAGCTCGTCGCCATTGTCGAGGACATTGTCGCCAACAAATCGTCCCTTGTTCCTGAATTTACTGCTGCGCTCGGCGACCAGGTTGTGTCTGTCTCTAACGCAGTCGACATTGCCGTTCAGCTCGCTCAGCGCATCGGTGCCCACGTCACGGCCACCCGCTCAAGCAAAGAGCCTCTCAAGCTGGCTGACATCGAGAAGTTCTGCGCCTCCGTCGTGGCGGAGAACGTTGGTGCTTCGGACCTCTCTCCCTGGGAAGTCATCGGATCCTTCGTCACTCGCCTCGGCACCGACCTTGGAGACATGCTGCCCAAGTTCCGCAACGCCGCCAAGGCTGGCCAGACCATCTCGCTTGACGTCGAGGCGCCCTGGCTCGCACGTGTCCAGGCTATCAAGGAGGCTGCTTCCCACAATGCCGAGGCTGAGCGCAAGCTCTCCAGGCTTCAGGAGGACCTCAAAGACACGTTACGCGAGGTCAAGCTCCGCGAACAGTCCCTCGAGGAGTCTGGTATCAAGATTGAGACGCTCGAGCGCCGCCTAGAGGCAAGCAAGCGCCAGTCCGACCAGATTGCCGAGCTCGAGGAGGACCTGCAGAAGGCACGCAAGCAGGAGAAGATGTACGAGGAGGCTCTGGAGCAGCTCCAGACCGAACAGGACCACCTCGAGGCGGAGAACGCTCGCCTCAGAAAGCACGGCGTGCCCGAGAAGGACGGCGAAAAGGGCGAGACTGTCAAGGCGGTCGAGGCGCGGGGCATGATCGAGCAGATCGAGGCGCTGCGCAGCGCAATTCGCTTCCTGCGCAACGAAAACAGCCTGCTCAAGTCCAAGGACCTGTACGAGGATGTGCGCATGCTTCCTCCGCTGCGCAGTCTGCCGGACGTGCCTGCTGTTCCAGAACTCGTCGAGGACGGTGGCAGCGATGTCGAGTCCGAGGGTCCCGTCACGCCCAAGCCCCGGACACCGAAGACGCCCAAGTCGCCCCTCGTCAAGAACGCCAACACGCGCCAGGCGCTCGACACCGAGACCAAGCTCCTGTACCGCGAGCTCGCCAAGTTCTCTGCCGCCCCGCGCATCGTCGACCTCTCCGGGTTCGACGGCAAGGGCCCCGCGTGGCGCAGCCGGAAGAATAGCCCGGAGGCACAGGCGTGGCGCTGGACGATGGAGCGGGTGGGACTGGAGAAGAAGGTTGAGGACCTCGCGGGGCGCGTCAAGGCGCTGCGGCGGCAATGAACGTGGCCCCCTCGCCTGAACTTGCATGATATGACGACAACTCTATGACTTGTACCACCACCATCACGTAACTTGTAGATGCATACATTGATCAGACACTCCTATCGCTTCTTGTACACGCACGCCTCGAGGATAGCCTCGCCCTTCTTGATGCGCTCGTCCCATCCTGGCTCGCCTCGCGCCGGACCCTGTGGGACAGACGCCACCTTCGTGAAGCGGAACAGCATGAAGTGCGTGCTCGGCTCCTCGCGCGACTCGCACTTGAGGCCGAACGACTCGACGGCGGTAACGAAGGCGCCGACGTTGGTGAAGCGCGACGTGACCTCGGCAATGTGCAGCGTGCCGCTGTTCGTTAGCTCGAACAGTCCCGTACCTTCAGCTAAAGGACTCACCCCTGCTTCAAGATCCTGGCAGCCTCATAAATCCCACCGAGCCAGTTCGTGCCCATGAGCGAAAGACAGCACACAACAGCATCAACGACCTCAGCAGCGTCGGGGTCGCGCTTGCCGCCCTTCTTGTTCTTCTTCGACTTGACCGGCGCATCATCCTCGGCCACCGTAGCCGCCAGGCCGCCCTTACGTCCTGGCAGAGGCACGTGGGTCAGGAAGTCGGCAGACGTGACCCACTCCCCGTCCCCGACCAGGTCGTAGGAGAGGACAACCTTGCCTTTGGGCACGAGCTCCTTTGCCAGTCCGGCGTCGCCGCAACCCAGGTCTGCAATCACGCTTCGCTGGGGAAGAGGGTTCAGTAGCTCGATGATGTGTGGGAGCGGAGGGGAGGGCCAGGCAGCGGTCAGGACGCGGTGCGCGTTATGGTACTGGTGGTCAGCTACTAGTTAATGAGTGCCCGCCAGCTCGCCTACTCACGTCCTCAAAGATCTTGGGCTCCTTCTTCATCATCTCAACTGCCTGCGTCGAGGGGGTGGTGTAGAGCTGCTCGTTGATCCACCGGAACCGGGCGCCCTCGAGCTTGTTCGCCATCTGCTGCTGCATCTTCGTGAGCCCCTCGGTCGCCTTAGCCTTCGGCTGGACCTTCTGCACGGGCTTGTGCTCCTCCTTCTGCTTGTTCTTCTTGTTCTTCTTCCCCTTCGGCGCCTCGGCGAGTTTCGGCACCGGCTCTCCTCCCTCCTCAGCCTCGGCGGTCAGGGCAGCGAGCGAGTTGCGCTTCTTCTTCTGCTTCTTGCTGCTGCTGGCTGGGGCCCGCGGCGCTTCTTCTTCGGAATGTGCCCGAGCTGCTCGGAGCCGGCGGAAGCCTTCTCGGTGATCTCGCCGCGCTCCACTTGCTCCATCAGCTTTTGGACGTTGACGGCCGTCGCGCGCAGCTTGTCGTCGTTCAGGGACGCCTTGCCCTTCTTCTTCTTGCCGGCGCCCGAGGTGCCGAAACTCATCGGTTTCGAGGACCCCGCGCCGGGAGTGTCAAACGCGGAGTGGAAGAGCGACATGGTCGAGCGTTGGACTGCGTGAGAGTGCGATGTCAGACGTGGGTGTCGTGAGACCGGCCCGAGATGAGCGCGAGAGGCAGCAGGGGGGGGGTCGAAATCTTGAAGTCATATCTGGAGCCCCAGGTGCCACATGCCCTTATCACCGCGGACCTATTTCTGGGCTCTCGCCACCCAGCGATCTTGAACTCGATCGAGCACTTGTTGTTTATGCTGTTGCGTACAGGAGCCATCGGCATCGAGACAGGATGGGTGAGTGCTGACAATGCGCATCGCTTAGCTGACAGAACAGACTACCAAGTACGTATTGAACATGCGAACCTGCTGCTATGGTCTCGAATGAAAGCTGACCGCAGAATCGTGCAGGCGCGAACAAGAGCGGCGCCGGAGTCGGTAAGCTAGCAGGTTATTTCTGTAGCTGACGTTCCAGCGGGCTCGTCCGAGTCGGCGGTCGACCGTCGTGAGCGTCTCCGCAAGCTCGCGATGGAGACGATCGACCTCGCAAAGGACCCGTATATCCTCCGGTAAGCTTACTTGATTCCCGCTTGAGCTGACGCCAGAACACACCTGGGCACGCTCGAGTGCCGTCTTTGTTTGACGCTGCACAAGGACGAGGGCTCATACCTTGCCCACACGCAGGGACGGAAGCATCAGACGAACCTGGCCCGCCGCGCCGCGCGCGACCAGCACGAGGCTGTGCTCGCCGCCCCGGCGAAGCAGATCACGAACGAGGTTAAGAAGAAGGTCTTCGTGAAGATCGGACGGCCCGGTGAGTTCGCTGCTTCATGTTTCGTTTGCAGCAATCTAACACGTCCCAGGTTACAAGATCGTCAAGATCCGGGAACCCGTCAGCCAGCGCCTCGGCCTGCTCTTCACCGTCTCGCTGCCCGAGATTAAGCCTGGAATCCGGCCACGCCGCCGGTTCATGAGCGCGTTCGAGCAGAAGCGCGAGGTGCCCAACCGCGCCGTCCAGTATCTTGTCGTGAGTAGCTATGGACTTCATCAGCTCGAGCTAATATCAGATCGCCGCCGAGCCGTACGAGACGATCGCATTCGCGATTCCGGCCAAGGACATGGTCGATGAGGAGGAGGATCCGGACAGCGTGTGGGAGCACTGGGACGCCGACGACAAGGTCTACAGCTGCCAGCTCCTGTTCAAGTGAGCGGTGAGCTGCGTGCGACGAAAATTGCCCGGCGACGCAAAGTGGGCAAACCTGTATCAGCGATTAGAAGGTAGAAGCGCTCTGGCAACTGTCGGATGCATGTACTTTTAGGTTTCACTGGGCTGTCCACACTGAATACATTCACAGGATCTAGCACTCATTATACACATTCAGGTGGGCTCGATTTGCTTATGCTACAGACTTCAGACTTCGATTAGCGACCGCGCAGACCACACTTGTACCACTTCCTGGGACGGGGACGCTCATCTTCGCTTTCCTTGTTCTGGTGCTCGCTCACGATCTCGACGAAGGCCGTCTCGGTCGATGCCTCCGAAAGACTCATGTTGCGCGACGCGACGCCGCGGGCCTGGATGCGCTCGAGCGTGCCGAGCAACGCGAGGACGCTCGGCGAGGGGACGGAGATACGCGTCGTGGTGCCAGGGGAGGGGTATGCGTCGGGGAACCCGTGGTTCTGGAGGTAATGCAGGCATTGATCGACATCGCGCGCAGGCAGCTGCACCTCGTAGTGGGGGAACTGCTCCTTGAGCTGCCTCGGTGTGCCGACACTCAGCAGCTGCGTTGCGATGATTCCGATCCGTGTCGCGAGGGCGTCGACTTCCTCCATCGAGTGCGTCGTCATGACCACGGCGCGATCGCGGGTTAGGGCGGCGAGGACTTCCCAGGCCTCGCGCTGGCTGAAGGCGTCGACGCCGCTGCTGAACTCGTCAATGAGCACCACCTGCCGGTCGCCAATCAGCGCCATGGCCAGCAGAAGCTTGCGCTGGTTTCCGCCCGAGAGTGTGCTGGCGAGCGCGTCGCGTTTCGGCGTCAGCCCCGTGACGCGGAGGAGCAGCTCGATGTCCCTCGGCACCGCGTGCCGTGGCACGCCCTTGAGGCGCGCGTAAAGCCAGAGGTGCTGCGAGACAGTGAGGCAGGGGTCGATCGCGTTGACTTGCGGACAAACACCGAGCGCTGCACGAGCGCGGTTGCGCGAGCCACGGATGGAGCGGCCGTCGACACGCACGTCTCCGCGGTCCGGCGCCTCGAGGCCGCGGATGAGCGCCAACGTGGTCGTCTTGCCCGCCCCATTGGGTCCGATGAGGGCGAAGAGCTCCCCAGCTTCAACGCCGAAGGATACCTCGCGCACCGCGACGAGCTGAGCCTTGGCGCCATTCTTCTTCCCGTGCCGACCCTTGTGGAAGACCTTGGTCAGGTCCTTCACGACGAGCGTGTCGCTGCACCCGGCGCGAATGCGGGCTGCCTCGGCGGCCACATCGGGCGACATGCGCGCCGGCGCAATCCCCTTGACGGGCTTGGTGCGGGAGTGGTGCCAGAGCCACGGACGCCCGCTGTCGATCCACACGAGCAGGAGGAAGGCAAGCACACCCTGCGCCGACATGTACACCAGCGGGGCGCCGTAGAGCTCCATGTCGCCGTAGGCGACGTTGGACCTATGTCCGCGCCCATCGCAGAGGAGGCCGAAGAGGTTGAGGCTGATCACGACGGCTCGCACGATACTCGCGTGGGGCGCGAGCCACGCAGAGCCCAGGTTAGCGAGGTGCAGGTGCTCGTTTGCCTTGTCGCTCTTGTCGGTGCCGAGGATGACCGAGTAGATGCTGAACACGACGAGGAACACGAACAGGTTGAACGTGACGTAGACTGCGAAGGCGGCGACGGGGGTGCGCGCGCGCAGCGTGAGGAGGTAGCCCCACAGCGTCGCGCTGATACCGTAGATGACCATGCAGAGCCAGAAGAGCGCCATGGCGTGGAACTGGTCCGTCGCTGCCGCGCACACAATGGCAATGAAGGAGGACACGAGCAGAATGCCCGGCACCTCGGAGAGGACGTGACCCGCCCACAGAGCCGAGGGACGGGCACCGTTGCTGTACTGGTTCTCGCGCACCAGGTGCGCCTTCTCACTGGCCGGGTACAGCATTGCGAACGCGGGCCAGACCGCCATCGCAACGCTGAAGAAGACCATGTAGATCATGCCCTTGCCGAGGTTGCTGAAGTTGGGCGAAGGGAGGTACTGGAAGTTGACGTTGATGCGGAATGCCTCGGCTTCGCCAGAGGCCGGCGAGGAGCGGTACAGCGCGCTGTTGGAGTACATGTTCAGCAGAGAGAGTCCCTTGAACGCTCCGTCCTCCGTCTTGCCCTCAAAGGCGACGATCTGCTGCTCGTCGCTGTTTAGGCCGCCGTAGGTCTGTTCCCTGCGCTGAGTCTTCCACGTGTCGAGCCATGCGCTCTCGCTGTTAACGCGGGTACCGTTGAAGGTGTCTGCCCAAGGGTTGAGGAAAGTGTCGACGTGCATGAACGGCGGGGTCCAGTTGCCGTGCAACTGGGGATAAGACAGGGGCAGGAAGAGCTCGGTGTTGACGACGAGGTCGCAGGACGCGTTCCGGCCCTTCAGGAAGAAGAGCGGGATCGTGCCAGCCAGCATGACGGCCACGACGGCGCAGAGGGGCACGAACCAGGCGCGCCGCAGTACGAGCCACCGCTTCCACACGATCGTGCCAACCATGGCGAATCCGTCAACCCACCACCGATGGCTGCCGGGCGTGAGTGTCAGGGGCGCACCATCCTTCAGCTCCGGAAGAGCTGCCTCGTCCGCCTCCGACGTGCCCGTCAGTGTGGGGGCGGCGACCTCCCAAGATTTCTCAGAGTTGATCTCGGACAAGCTCGCGAAGCCCTCATACTTGCCAGGAGAGCCTGGGGTGCACGGAGTTCGCGTCGGCGCGTTCAGGTCGAGGAAGACCTCTTCGAGCGTAGTGCTGTTCACAGTGTAGGGCACACCCTTCTGCTCAAGATACCGCACGACCTTGCCGACATCGGCGACGTCGGGCGAGTTGGTGTGGAACACGCGTGCGTTCTTCCCGCTCCGCTCGGAGAGCGTGGCGACAAGAGCGCGCAGTTCGTCTCCAACATCGGCCCCAGAATCAACGAGCACAGTGTACCCGTGCCCGAAGACGCGCTTCAGTTCCGTCGGCCCCCCGGCTGCGAGTAAGCGGCCGGGAGCCTCAAGGATCGCAATGCTGTCTCCGAGATAGTCGGCTTCGTCGAGATAGTGTGTGCTCAGGATCATGGTGGCGTTGCCGCGGTGGTTGGCGACAACGTTCCAGATCGCGCGGCGCGAGAGCGGGTCCAGGCCACTGGACACTTCGTCCAGTAGAATGAGGTCCGAGCCGCCAGCCAGAGCACAGGCGAGCTGGAGCTTGCGTTTCTGTCCACCCGACAAGTTGCGCGCAAACGTGCGCATCTTGGCGTCCAGGTCGCAGCGGCGCAACAGCGCCTCATCAGCCTCGGGGTCGGAGCGCCCGCCGCCGCCCTTGATTGCGCGCCAGAGACGAACGTGGTCGAGTGGCGTCAGTTCGTCCCAGAGAACATTCTTCTGTCCCGCGATACCGAGCCGGAGGTCGGGGGAGTATCCCACACTGCCCGAGTCGACGTCGATGAGTCCCGCGATGGCGCTGAGCGTCGTCGACTTGGCACTCCCGTTCCGGCCCAGGAGGCAGAATACGTCGCCCTTCTGGACGTCGAAGGAGAGGTCGTTTATAGCGGTCGTTTCGCGGAGTTTGCCAAAGAGGACGTGGCTGCGGGAACGGTAGGTTTTGCGGATATGGTTGACGCGCACAGCTACGCCCGAGGGGAGATGCTCCTGCCTACGCCTGTGGAAGAGACCGCGGTGCGCCGGTCCGAGGCCGTAGAGGGCACGTTCGAGCCACACACTGAGCGCAGGGTAGATGAACACGGTAAGCAGGGCGAGGACGAAGAGGGCGATGATGGGCGCGTCGCCATCGGGGCTGCGCGCTGTGACGCTCGTGTTGAGGTGGTGGATCTCGAAGCTCGCCGCGGCGCGCATGAGAATGACGAAGAAGCTAGGCGGGAGAAAGAGCACGGCGGCAACCTGGCCGCCGACGTTGGAGCCCACGAGCCGGCCAAATACGGCGCAGAGAAGACAGAGAAGCATGCTCGTTATGGCCGCGAGAGTCGGCATCTTCTCGAATGGGACTGCGACGAGGAAGCTCCAGCTCGCGGTCGAGAGACCCGCGAACACGCACCCCAGGATCATAATGCCGAGACTCGTGTGCTTGTACACCAGCAGACCGAGAATGACGCCGTACAGTACCCAGCTGGCCATGAAGACGAGGCTCATGCACGCGTGCCAGCTCAGTACTCGTGCCAGGGTGCTGCAGCCCATGACGTCGAGGTGTTCTGAGAGGCCGATGGCGCGCTCGGTAGTCATGCGCCCGGGCAACTGGTAGGCAACGAAAAGGAACTGCACGATCAGAACAATGGCAACCACGTCGCGGGTAGCCTTGAGAAAGTCGATGCGGATCTTGTCCTTGTAGTCGGCCATGGAGAGATTGGTGTACTCCCACACCTGGGGCGCGGATGGCTTGCTGCCCGTCATGTCCGCGACAAACGTGGACTCGAGCGCCCACTGCAGCGGCATCAGGCGTTCCTGCTGCACGTCGTTCTTGGGTTCGTCGACGTCAATGAGACTCAGGCCCGTATCCGTCTTGATCGTGTAGTTGAGAGTCTGGGCCGAGGCGTCGAGGGCGTGGAAGACGACCGCGGCGAAGCAGGACGATACCTGCGACATGCCCTCGGGGCATTCGGGACCGATGTCTGCCACAGTAGCGACTTGCTTGATCTTGGCGGTACTCGAGACCCCCGCGCCCTGCAGCGCGCGTGCGAGGAGGGATGAGCCCGCGCCGGAGGTCTCGTCGACATACACGAGAGTGTTGTCCTTCAGGTCGTTCGGGAGGGAGCGCAGAGCGCCAATGTGCCCATCACCGTATACCGAGCCGTCGTACCAGTTCTCCTTTGACTGGGCCACGTAGACGGACCAAAGAATGGGCAGGATGAGGCAGGTGAAGTAGGTCGTCCATGAGCGCCGGATGAACACCAGCCTTAGAGCGTTAGTCGTCTGGCAGCGAGAGCAGAAACGACTCACGCATTCTTGCGGCTAAGTGCCACAATCTGGGTGATGAGGCGCATGCCGGTGGACAGCTGCTAGCTTTCGAGTGTGCGTCAGAGGATCACTAGGAGTCAATGTCAGAGCGGGTATGGAGGACACCAGAGGAGTGAGTCGGGTTGGCTAGCGCAGCACACCCTTACGAGGACGCCTTTATACATGGTGCAAACATGCAGCAACACAGAGCTAGTGATCACTTCGAGTCCGAGTGCGAAGCTCCATGTGAGGCGGTGATGATCGCAGACATCCCGGTCCCAGCAATGTCTGTGCGATGGGTAGAGGCTTGGGTGTCGTCTGGCAAGTATGCACCGCCCATCGGACGCCAGTCAGATATCGGAGTGTGAATGTGGCTGCACGCGCCAAACATGTGAGTGCACGCTGCGTGAGTGTGTGTTTCAGGAGTGGAGACAACGTCGCGACCGAGTGCCGCATCGGGGACGGGGGGGGGGGCGGACCGTTGTGAGTCCCTTGCTCTTCCCAGCTTGACTGTGGGCGTCCAGGGCGCCGGCACTCAGGACCACAGTGTTGCCCGCCATCGTTAACAGAACTAACGGATTCCAGGCCCCGATACTGCTAGGACGTCAGGAAAAGAGTTCGTTGGTAGCGAGGCGCAAGGGAACAATGGCACCGCCATGATCCCGGGTCCGAGGAATGTGCAGAGGGCGACGTTCGACGCGTCATTTCGTTCCATGGTCGCTGTCGCGTCGTTCCGCGCCCCCCTCTTTGAGTTGTTCCTACAGCCGCTGGAATCAGTGCCAAGACGTCAAGATGCGAGGCAGTGTATATATCTGTGTGATGAAGCGATGGAGATGAGGCTGTCAGAGCAAAAGTCAGCGCGTGAGTGTGTGTTGCGGCAAATTGGCCGGTATTTTGCCGGATGAAAAGTGACCGAGTAGGTTGCCGGATGTGGTGAGCCATTTCGAGCCGGGGTCTCCGGGCCGTCTGGCGCGGCTTCGTCCTCGCTCTCCGCGGCATCTCCTCCATTCATGCACTCATGGGCCATGGGTCAACGCCGTGGGCTTTGTCTCGGCGCCGCGTGACCCTTCTCTCTTTCTCTTTAACACACAACTCCTCACACTCCTTTACTAAATGACAAACCCCCTCGCCTTGGACCTCGACACCCTCCTGACCCCGACCGCACTCAGTGTCGGCCTCGCCCTCCTCTCCTTCGGCGTCTACCTCTCCTCGACCCTCCTCTCCTCCCCACACCCCAAGCCCAACATGCCCCTCAACACGACAGAGCACACCGCCCCCCTCGAGCTAGTGAATGAGGGTGGGCAGCTCAACCGCCTTGCCGCGGGGTGGGCGCGCGGCCCCATCGTCACCTCCGAGCTCCTCCCGAGCGGCGCATGGTGGGGCTACCGCAGCAAGCAGTGGGAGTACTGGGGCGTCATCTCCCCCTCGCTCGTTTTGGGCCTCACGCTCGCGGATCTAGACTACGGCACCGTGATCCAGCTGTACCTGCACGACCGTGCAGCCAACAAGTCGTACAGATGGGAAATGCCCGGCATCCCGCCCAACCGCGACCTGGTACACCTGCCCAAGACGCTGCCGCCGTTCACGTGTCAGGGCCAGACGGGCCAGTTCAAGGTCATGTTTGCCGACACTGAGCAAGCGGGCAAGAAGATCACGACGCTGGCCGCCAAGGCGCCGGCTAGTGGTACTACGCCTGCGGTCGAAATGCACCTCGAGGTCAACACGGCGGGGGAGAGCTTTGGCGTCGTCGTGCCCTGGTCCGACTCTCGGTTCCAGTACACGCTGAAAGCGCCCGCACTGCCCACGACGGGCACCGTGAAACTCGGCGAGAAGACGTACACCGTGAACAACGCGTGGGCGACGCTGGACCGCGGCCGGGGCCGGTGGCCGTATCGGATGGCGTGGAACTGGGGCGTGGCGCTGGGCCAGAATAGCGCGGGACAGCGCGTCGGCCTCACGATCGGCGGAAGGTGGACCGATGGGACAGGCACGACGGAGAATGCGCTCCTCCTCGACGGCGTCGTGCAGGGCCAGGGCCCGCTCGAGGACGTAGCATGGATTTACGACCTGAAGGCTCCAGAGAAGCCGTGGAAGATCAGGGGATCCTGGATCGACGCCGAGATCACGCCGTGGCACGTCCGTGTTGCTGGTGCTCAGAAGATCGTCATGAGCTCGTTCACGACCCAGGTGTTTGGACAGTGGAAGGGAAGCGCGACTGTGGATGGGAAGACCGTCAGTCTCGACGGGCTCACGGGCTGGGCCGAGGATGCCGCGAATCGGTGGTAGCTGTAGTTCCGCTGGTAGTCTTTGGTGAATGCAAAGATGATGACTCTGTTTGCATGAACTATGGGTCAAGCTCCTCGACCTCGTCGACAAACACATTGCCCTCGAACAACTTTCGCGCCGTCCGAAACACACTCGCACTCGGCACTTCCCACCCCTGCGGGGTCTGCTCGACCCGCGCATCAACAGCTATAGTCCCACTAGCATGCCCAATCACGATCCCGTCGTCTCCCCTCCGCGCAACTTTTGCGACAAGCGTTCCAGGCACCTGTGCCGCGGCGGCCGTACACAGCGCAGCCGTAATGGGGAGCGCGCGATGCGGGTCGCCCGCCGAGATACAGCGACAGACGACGTCCGTGTCCTCTCGTCCGAGGACGGCGCCGCTGAGCACTGCGTGTTCGGAGGGAGGGCTCAAAACGACGACCTTGGGCACGCTCCGCTTCTTGTCTGCCTCGGCCATAGTACCAGTGAGGCCCATAGCGACACTCGCCGCGTTCCTCAGCGCGTTCAGTTTCGCCAGCACGTCTCCCTTGATCTCTGCGGGCGTCTCCGTACCGCTCATCCCGACGTCCGAGGCCAAAACGAACGCACACGGGTTTCCGCAATCGACCAAACTGGCCTGCACAACGCCCCACTCCCCCAGATCCAGCGTGTCCACCACATGGCCAGTGGGGAGGAATCGGCCAGTCCGGCTCCCGTGCGGATTCAGGAACTCGAGGGAGATCCGCGCATGACTCCCCGACACACCGTCGATGGTGTATCCCCCCGATAGCAGGGGCCGAGTGCCGTCGGCAGGGAACAGGGCGTGGATCAGTTTAGATGTGTTCGTGTTGAAGATGCGGACGAGGTTACCCCTCTCTGTTGGATGAGGGGGGACGAGACCCGTTTCGAGCGCGAAGGGACCGACGGCCTGATGTCAGCTTTCCTCTAGAGCTGAGCAGCGGCAGACGACGTTCCTCCGCCTTCTCCTTCTGCTAGAGAAGCGGCGCACTCGCCCACTCGCTTCGCTCGTGCGCTCGTTCGCGTCACTCACAGCAAGCATATTCCCGCAATTCCCCGCATAGTCGACAACCGGCTCATCCACCCGAACCTGGCAAAAGGTGTAATCCACATCGGCCCCTCCCTGTTCACTCTTGCCCACAACCGCGACCTTGGAGACGCTCGAGTATCCCCCGCCCATGCCGTCGAGCTGCCGCCCATTGGGGTCCGGACTCCCCATCGCTGAGAGGAAGAGCGCGTCCCTCTCTTCTCGGGAGGGGGGCAGGTCGGCGTCGTTGAAGAGGAGCGCCTTTGATGTGCCGCCGCGGTAGAATGTGGCTGGCACGGGGCGGCTTTGGCCGTAGTGACGTTTGGACATGGGTGTGAATGAGGGGAATGTAGGTGAGAGGCGTGTAGAGGGCTGCGAGCGCACTCCGCGTAACAGTAACAGTGAGCGCGGGATCATGGTGTGGGCGATGGAGAGAAGTGTGAGGTAGAGTTCGGGGAAATGGCGAGGCACACCCGGCTCGGCTCGTCCGGTGACCTGCTCGGCTCGGCCTTTATCTTATCCGCCGACCTGATAGCTAGCTACCACCTGGCGTCCTCCTCCCGACACGCATCGCTTGGATACTGCTCCACGACTCTCACATCTTACCGGACCCGCCGCAACGTAGTACAGAACTGATACATGCCAATGTTACAATCCAGATGCGTCTCATACCCTCCGCTGCCTCCACACCCACGCCGCAGCAACTGCCGCTCGCTCTCACTCGCTCTCCCGCTTACTGATGCTGAAACAGCCCAAGCGGCAGTTGCGGGTTGACACCGCCCTGCATGCCTTGCTGGCCCTGTGCGAAGAGGCCGAGGGCCGAGTTCTGGGGGTTGTTCTGGTTCTGCTGCTGTCCCTGCTGCTGCTGGAACTGCTGCAGGCCCGCAAACTGCCCAAGCTGCAGCCCCTGCTGTCCCTGTTGACCTTGCTGGCCCTGCTGCCCGTCATTGCCCGTGTTGGGCAGCATGTTGAACGGCATGTTGCCCAGCTGCAGGCCGCTGACGCCCACATTCGACCCTAAATTCAGGTTGCCGACGTTGCCAACATTGCCGCCGACATTGCCCAGGTTCAAGCCCCCGAGGTTGCCCATGTTGACGTTGGAGCCCAGGCCCTGCCCGTTGATGGGGACGTTGCCCTGCTGACCCTGCAGCTTGCTCGCCGCCGCCTGATGCGCTGCCTGTGCCTGCTGCGCCTGGGCGGCCTTGCCGCGCTCGCGTGCGCTGTTGATGAACGCCGCCAGCTGCTCCTTCGGAATCGAAGCCGGATCGAACGAGTCGCTCACATTCAGGCCCGCATCGCGCATAATCTTGATGATGCCTGCACGCTGCTGCGGCGTGAACTGCAGAGCTGGCCGCGCCATGTTCTGCAGGTTCTGCGCGCCCTGTCCCTGCGCCTGGGCCTGCGCTTGAGCTTGCAGCTGGCGCAGCTGCAGCTGCTGAATCGTGTTGACGTTCGGCTGGTTGGCAAACTGCTGCAGGGCGTTCGCGTTGAGGGCATTGTTCCCAAGGGCATTGCCGAGCGCCGGGTTCGGCACGCGCGGCGTCGACTGCTGCTGCGGGGTCGTCTGTTGCGGTTGCGGGGTCGAGAGGTTCTGCGGCGTGCGCGCTTGCGTCTGAGGCGTGCCCTGTTGCTGCTGCTGCTGTAACTGAGCGGCTTGCAGTTGGGCCTGCTGCAGGAACTGGGGCGAGATCGAGAACTGTCCCGGAGGGCCGTTGATCGGGACCTGTCCCGGCCGAGCTCCGTTGACGGCCGCCTGAGCCTGTGCTGCCGCCTGCTGTGCCGCCTGTGGGTTCTGCTGGTTCTGCTGGCCACCAAGCTGGGCCTGGTTCGCCATCGGGTTCAACATGTTGTTGCCAGGCAGGAACGGAACCTTGAGGCACACAACGCCGAGAAGCCGGTAAATCTTCTCGCCACTCGGGTTCGGCTGCTGCTGCGATCCGTTTGACGAGATCAGAAGGATGCCGCACCCCGGCGCACCGAAGCGGATGAACGCGCACAGGTTCTTCGCTCCCAGCATCATCGTGAGATACTGAATCTTTCCGCGCGCCTGCGCGTCCGCAGCCTGGTTCACCGTGAACAGCACGCACGGCGCCTGGTGCGCCTTCACGTACGACTGCAGCTCGGCCATGTTCATTCCGGACATGCCGGACATCTCCAACGTCGACGGCCACGTGTTGACGTGCAGGTCGTTGGGGTTGACCTGCGGGGAGAGGAGCGTGCAATCGACCGGAATGACCCCTGCTTTGTTAGCTTGGAGCAAAGAAGGTTTAACTTACATTTCTGAGGCTTGTTGTCCGAACCCTTCATTGTCCAGCTGATGGAACCCTGCCACACCCGGTTTGGTCGCGGCGGCACGGCGGTGCCTGGTCCAGCGGGGTTGTTCGTCACGTTGCCACTGTTGTTGCCGGCGTTTTGCTGTGAGGCCAGGTTCTGCAAAGCGAGCATTTGCTGCTGCTGCTGGAGCAATTGCTGTTGCTGCTGCTGTGGTGTCGGCTTGTTGTCGCCTGGTGGCCGGGCGCCCGGCATCTGCGGTTGTTGCTGGCTCGGCTGTTGCTGCTGCTGTTGCTGTTGGGGCTGCTGTTGTTGCTGCTGTGGCGGTTGCGGCTGGGTGCTTGCCTGGGAAGCGTTGTTTTGGTTGTTGCCGGCCTGCGCGTTCTGCTGCTGCTGTTGTTGCTGCTGGCGAGCTTGCATGGCTGCGAGGAACTGCTGCTGCTGGAGTGACGGGCCGTTCGACGGGCCCTGATTGCCGTTCATGTTGTTCAGCGCCTGCGTGGCCGCGTTCATGTTGCCGTTGTTCAGGTTCCTCGACTGCACCAAGCTGCTGAGCTGCTGCATGGCCTTGTGGCGGGTGGCCGGGTCCTCGTGCTTCATGTTCGCGATCAGCTGCGCCATGACGGTGGGGTCCAGACGTCCGCTCTGTATCAGGCTTGCGAGCGCCTGCAGGGCGGGTCCACCACCGCCACCAGCCTGCGCGGCGGCGACAGCCATCTTGTACGCCAGGGCCTGCTTTTGCGCCTGCTGGTACTTGATCTGCGCCTCCGAAGGTGTCTGAGGTGTCGACGGATCCTGCGAGCCTTGCTTCTGAGGAACGGGCGCACCGTTCGTAGCCACACCTGCTGGTGGCGACGTCGGTTTGACGATGGTCAAGCCAGTGAGAACGGCGACAGAGTCGGGCGGCAACGGAAACCACGGGTCACTCGGAGGTTCTGATGAGCTCTGCAGATGTTAGTTCATGCAACACAGACATGGAACCTACAGCTTGGCACATCTTCCGAAGCCGCTCAACACTCTGGCTGCCGTCTCGTCCTGGAGTCGACACAGTCTGGGATGCTTCAGGAGAACCCACAATGATCGCCGAGCAAGCAATGTCCTTCTCCTTGCACTTTTCACCAATGTTGTCCCAGTTGAAGTCGTCATAATCGGCGCTTGTGTCGGTCCGAGCCCACGCGTGCGGCTGCCGGGCGTCGGATTCCGTAGCCTGGAGCGACGCCTTCTCGGTGAAGACAAGCAAGTGCTGCTGTCGCTCCTCGGCTCCTCCCTGGGCGCGGTACATCATCGAGAGCATGGGTAGAGCGGAGTCGGGGCTCACTTGCCGCAGGGCGTTTGGCGGAGGCACAAAGTTGAGATGCGCCTGGTGATCGAGAAGCTGAGTGTGTGTAAGCAGATGGTTACGCCCTGTATGTGTGTGTGCGCTCCAGACTGTTGAGACTCACCTCGATTCCTCCAACAATACCGCTCAGGAAGTGGTCGCTGGGACCTGGCTCCGACGAAGTGATGGAGAGTCCGGCACCATCCTCAATGTCCCATACGTCTGACAAGAGGGACCCCGGTTTTGGTCGGGCGAGGGCGGCCTGTGGCGTGAATCGTCTGAGGAGGGAGGGTAAGGATGTGATGAATGATGACGGTCGTCGGAAGTCTTGACGATAGGCGGGGATCAGCGAATGGAGCGCCCGGGGATTGTGATACGGGGCATCTTGGGCAGTGATGACGAGGCCGATGCGAACCTGCAGAAAGGGTCAGCATTAAGTAGCAGGAGAAGATACGTACCGCCTGCTCGCCGCCATACTTCTCAGTGAGGCGTTGAACGACTTTTGGGACGGATCCGTTTGGGCCGATGAGGTCCGAGAAGCGTTCTCTTGAGAGACCCGAGTCGAATACGAGGGTGGCCGTGTGGACGATGGGAGGAGCGCCAGTCGAGGACGAAGCCTCTGGCTGGTGATCCATGTCTGAATAAGGTCAAGAAGAGGGATGGAGAGTGTTTGTTGAGTCGATGTTCAGGGGTCGGTGGATGTCGGGGGATTTGTTATCGTTGGCGGGTTGTCGGGGAAGTAAGTGGTCAAGAAGGGGGTGGAAGGGGGGGCTTTTGAGATGGTAGATGAAGGCAGGCCCTGGGAGGCCCGTTTTTATCGAATGGCTTGATGATGTGTTGTAGAGGCAGACTTGGGAGGGAGGGGATGGGAGGACGGGGAGAAAGGAAAGAGAGGTCGGAGATGCAGTTAGTGAGTTGTTGGAGGATGGAGTGCTAGGGGAGGGGAACCGGCTAAGGGAAAGGGCGAAGTGGTGGTTGACCCCGCGCCGCCCCCCAGCAGCGAGTATGCGCGAGTAGTGCCCTCCACCCCGTACAGTCGAGCCACCCACCCAGGCTCAGCCAGGCCAGGCACCACCGTACACCCATCACCATCCACTCACTCTCTTCGTTCACCACTCTGTCACCACAAGTCAACATACGAAAACACACCACCTCGTCACCTCCTTCTCTTCCGCAAACTCCCTCCCACCGCGCTCTCAGTGCAAGCTGCGATCACCAGCTTCCTGACCGTCGCCACACCGGCACAGGCACTAGTCCGTCATGGGTACGTGACCACCACCCTCACTCACCTCTTGTCAACAAATATCCACCAGACGAACCCACAGCTGACATTCAGATCCCTCCATTCTCAGAGGTATGTCTCAACCATTAACGGCTCACTCCCATTGTCATCCGTATCATCAGTCACTAACGTCCTCAAAGGTCTCAATGACAAAATGTGAGTAGCACTGGAGCACAACAACGGTCATCGCTGACTTGCAAGCTACGAGCGAAGGAAGGCTGCGGCCCTCGAGCTGGAGAAGCAGGTTCTGTCTTCAGACGGAGCCCGCATCTCCAGCATCATCGATCAGCTGTGCGGCATGTTTGCACCCACTAATGCCATGCACACCCGCAACGGTGGCCTTATCGGTCTCGCCGCGACTGCGATCGCCCTGGGACAGGACGTCGCTCCCTTCCTTCCCGTGATCATTCCGCCGGTACTTGCATGCTTCCAAGATACTGAGAGTCGGGTGCGCTACCATGCATGCGAGAGCTTGTACAACATGTGAGCTATACCTATCCGTGCAGAGCTGACGGCAGCGCGAAGGTTAGCAAGGGCGAAATTCTGGTGTATTTCAACGAAGTATTCGACGCACTCAGCAAGGTGAGCTCTCAGAAACGCACGCAGCTGACCCCAGCTTTCCTCGGACTCGGAGATGTCTGTTAAGAATGGCGCAGAACTGCTCGACCGGCTCATGAAGGACATTGTTGCGGACGCGGCAGCCAACTATGTTTCGGTGTACCACGACGAGGACCCTGAACGCACGCCGCGGGATCGGGACACGAGTCAAGGCAGCCAGGCGATCGAAGGAGGCGCAGCGGGTGGCGACGACACGGTGTCTGCCAAGGACGTGGACCGACAGTCGAACGCGAGCCCGACACGGCACGACGGCGACCACTCTCGCACCGAATCGATTCTGAACGAGGACCGGCGCGCATTCTCCCTGGAGCGATTCATCCCGCTACTGACGGAGCGTGTTTACGCCATCTCGCCCTACACACGGATGCACCTAGTGTCGTGGCTCATGGTGCTGAACACGGTGCCGGACCTCGAGCTGGTCGCCTACCTCCCCGAGTTCCTCGACGGCCTGCTTAAGTACCTCGCCGACGGGAACCTGGACGTGCGAGTGGCGACCGAGAACCTGCTCGCAGAGTTTCTGCGCGAGATCAAGATTATCGCGCAGCAACAGGAGAAGCACGCCGAGATGGAGCGCACCCGCATCCAGGAGAAGAGGAAGGGCACGGGCGACACGCAGCAGAACGACACCGACTCGACCCGCGGTAGTGACGCGGGAGACGACGAGGCCGTCGCCACTGATGACGAGTACAGCGACTCGGAGTGGGACGACGGATCGTGGGAGCCGAGCCAGGGCGTCATCATCGATTATGGCGCGATCATGGCGATCGTCATTGACCACCTGTTTTACCCGGACAACCTGGTGCAGACGACGGCGATGGACTGGATCTTGACCTTTTTGGATTTCACGCAGACTACCGTCGTCGCGTTCACACCAAAGATTGTGTCTGCGATCCTGCCGAATTTGGCGTCGACGAATCGGCATATCAAGGCGGCCGCCACCGAGACAAACCGACAGCTGCTGGCTGTCATCCAGAGTTTGCCACTGCAGGTGAATCCGCCAGAGAAGCCGCAGACAGTGACGGTCGGGCAGCCTGGTGGCTCGATGCTGACGGCAACGACGTCGAACAGCACTGCGCCCGGCACATCTCCGCCGAAATCCGGCGCACCGCTCGATTCGCCCGAAAAGCTGTCGGGGACGAACACGGATCCGCTCGAGTCGGGCTCACAGGTCAAGCTCGAGGCCAAGATCAAGTCGCCAGTGCCGATGTCTGAACCCTCAACACCTGCAATCAGCGAACACCCCCTCCCCTCAATACCGGGGAAGATTGCGCGCACGCGACCGCATTCGCCAAATCCGCCGCCGAAGGGAGAGCCGGTGCAGAACCAGCTGCAGCAGCAGCAACAACAGCCGCCAGTGGCGTCTCCGCCAGAAGTGGTCGACGACGACCCGTTCGACGTTCGCGAGACGGTCAACATGCTCACGCTCCAGTTCCTCAGCGACCACCCCGAGACGCGTATCGCGGCGCTCGAGTGGCTCCTGATGCTGCACCTGAAGGCGCCGACCAAGATTCTGTCCCGAGACAGCGGCACGTTCCCTGCCCTGCTGAAGACGCTGTCGGACCCGTCAGAGGATGTGGTGAAGCATGACCTGCAACTCCTGGCGCAGATCAGCTCTTCGTCCGAAGACTCGTACTTCCGAAGCTTCATGGTCAACGTCCTCGAGCTGTTCAGCACGGACCGTCGCCTTCTCGAGACGCGTGGGTCGCTGATCATCAGGCAGCTGTGCCTGCACCTGAACGCGGAGAAGATCTTCCGCACGCTCGCCGAGATTCTGGAGAAAGACGACGACCTCGAGTTTGCGTCCATGATGGTGGTCAAGCTGAACATGATCCTGATCACGTCACCCGAGCTGTCCGACTTCCGGCGCCGGCTCAAGAACCTCGACTCAAAGGACGGGCAAATGCTCTTCATCAGCCTGTACAAGTCGTGGTGCCACAACGCCGTGGCCGCGTTCGCCCTGTGTCTCCTGGCACAGGCGTACGAGCACGCATCCAACGTGCTTCAGATCTTTGCTGAGCTCGAGCTCACGGTCCCGCTATTGGTGCAGATCGACAAGCTGGTGATGCTCATCGAGTCTCCCGTCTTCACCAACCTGCGTCTGCAACTGCTCGAGCCAGACAAGTATCCCTACCTCTCGAAATGCCTGTACGGCCTGCTCATGATCCTCCCGCAGAGCAGCGCGTTCACCTCGCTGCGTGCGCGCCTCGCCGTGGTCAATTCGTCCGGCTACGTGCCCCCCGTGACGCGGCCAGGTTACGCGCAGCCCTCGCGCAAGACGGAGAAGGACAAGATTGGATGGGACAGTCTGCTCTCGCACTTCCGCGCAGTGCAGCTGCGGCACGAGCGCGCGCGCCGCCAAGTCCAGTCCCTCGACCAAGGGGCGAGCATGCACTTCAGCTCGCCGAGCGTGTCCTCGGGCGGAGCGGCGGGTGCGGGCGCACCCACATCAGGTGCCCAAGTCCGCCCCGGTCTTCCCCGGCGCAAGACGCAGAGCGCCGACAAACGCGCCGACCCCAGCCTCGGCGGCGTTGTGAACCGCGTCACGTCGGGCTTAAGCCCCCTCAACCCTAAGCGCGTCACGAGCGGGGCTGCCGCTGCGTTAGTCTCGGCCGGCGGCGCGGTGGCCAGCATGCAGGGGCTGGGCGCGATGCGCCCCATGTCCCCGCCCGTGGGAGGCATGCCGGGCCGGCGGCGCTTCCCGCCTCGGCGCCGCGGAGATGAAGTGTGAGATGATGTCGAGTGTTTCTCAACTACTAGCTTATTATATTTCACGACGTTCTCTTTTGTAGCAGCGCATACCCCCCTGTTTATAGAGCCTTTGTCTAATGTCACTTTCCATATTGCATGCGTATCGAAGTGTCAAAGGAGTGGGCAGCGGGTGTGGATGGAGTAGCCGGGTATATCCGGTACATCCCGCATCAGCGCGGCGCGTCACCCGGCGACTCCGGCCCGGTGCCGGACCGCAGTCACCTCACCCCACATCGCAGTCCAGCGGGCCAGCGCAATATAAGCGTACTCAATATAAGCGTACTCGTGTCAACACCCACTACGCACTCCCCATCACACACACACACACGAGAATACAAAACATCATGGCCAACGACGTCCCCACCTCGTTCAAACTCAACACGGGCGCGTCCATTCCTGCCGTCGGGCTGGGAACTGGAAGTCGGAGCCGGGCAAGGTTGCTGCTGCGTGAGTTGTTTATCGCCCCGACCCTTCTCCTTCCTCACGTCCGGCCGCTCTTCCCGTGCATCGTTCATCGGGGATCCAGACATCCAGAACGAGCATCCAGAACAAAGGACACTGGCCGGCATGTCACAGAAGGCAGAGAATGCCGAGGATGCATCCGGCCACAACACCCCCCACACCATCCCTCACCCCCCGACGAGTTTGGCTGACGTGAAGCGTCTCGCATGCTCTCAAGAACGGATACCGATCTTTGGACTGCGCGCTCGTGTATGGTGAGTGTCCTTTGCGAGCTGCTATGTTTTGAAAGCTTTGTGGAGCAACTGGGTGCTAGTTGAAGTCGGTCCGGGTGGAACAGAGTAGATGGATGGAGTGGTTTCAAACTGGGTGGTTGGGATTGGGATTGTTTGGAGTCGCTCGGCTTTCCCAGCTCTCCTAGCTCTATAAATCCTGCGAGTTCCAGCTCCCAGCTCTCCGAGCCCACTGCTCTCACGGCTCGCTCCGTTCGCCCCGTCCCCGGCGCTCGCTTCGCTCGCAGCTACCGCTAACTCCCAGGCAACGAGAACGAGGTCGGCCAGGGCATCAAGGACTCTGGCGTCCCGCGCAAGGACATCTTCCTGACCTCAAAGCTGTGGTGCACGTACCACGACCGCGTCGAGGAGTGTCTCGAGAAGACGCTCGCCGCCCTGCAGACAGACTACCTGGACCTGTACCTGGTGCACTGGCCGGTGCGCACGGTGGAGAACGGGACGAACGAGATGTTCCCCGTCAAGGAGGACGGGAGCCGCAACATCGATCGCCAGTGGGACCAGGCGGACACGTGGCGCGCGATGGAGAAGGTGCTCGCGAGTGGCAAGGTCAAGGCGATTGGTGTGTCCAACTTTTCCAAGCTGTACCTCGAGCGCCTGAGCAAGACGTGGAAGACGGTCCCCGCCGTCAACCAGGTCGAGCTCCACCCCTACAACCCGCAGCACGGGCTCAAGGCCTACTGTGACGAGAAGGGCATCGTGCTCGAGGCGTACTCGCCCCTCGGATCGAATGACTCGCCGCTGCACGAGGACCCCGTCGTGCAGGCCGTGGCGAAGAAACACGACGTGTCCCCCGCCACGGTCCTGATCAGCTACCAGGTGAACCGCGGCGTCGTCGTGCTCCCCAAGTCGGTCACGCCGTCGCGCATCGACGCCAACGCCAAGGTCATCAAGCTCGACGCCGACGACATGAAGCAGCTCGACGGCCTCGCCGCCGACGGCAAGCAGAGGCGCTTCGTCTCGCCCCCCTGGGGCACCGACTTTGGGTACGACGACTGGTTTGGCCCGGACAACAAGGACGCGCCAGAGGGCACCGTGTTTGAGAGCCGGGGGGAGACTTTTGCGTAAGCGAGCGAGGGGCGGGGGGGACTAGGCTGCTAAGATCCGACTTGCTCTCGCCAGCTCTGTGAATATGTAACGTAAAAAGAATAATAGAGCAAAGCATGCATGTTCGTACAAGCCCACAGACAGGTACTTAAAACCTCGGTGCCAGCGCGCACGATTCCTCCTCTGCCTCGATCGCCCACTCCCTCTCTCCAATCTCGGCCCTGTACGCCTGCGCGCTCTGGATGAGGACGCCCTGCGCCGCCTCCTGTCCCAGGACGAGCGCCTCGTCCCTCCCAACCTCGGGATGACGCTGCGCCCACCCTTCAGCAATGGCGAGGCGGAACGCCGCCTCCCTCCGCCCTTTGCCCCCTCCTTCCCCTTCTACCTTCTCGGCGCTGTCGGAGCCTCCGGCAGGACCTCCGGCAGAACCTCCGGCAGAGCCTCCGGCGTCCAGGCCAAAGACGGCATCGGGCATATCCTCCAGCCCGACTATGCGCATGCTCACGCCTTGTTCGAGACACGCGAGTGCCGGAGCCAGCAGCTGGCGGAACATCCCCGGGCAGACGGTGCGCTTGTACACCGTCCCTCGTACGGGCTCCCTGATCGGTCTAAAGATGACGGTGAGCGTCCTCAGCCTCGGCCCGAGGGCGAAGGGCTGCAAGCTCAGGCGGGGAAGATGGGGATGTCTCGGGTCATACTGCACCGTCAAGACCTGGTGCAGCGTACCTCTCAGACAGTCCTCGACGAGCACCACGGGCGCAAACAATCCCCCCGACGTAGAGCCGAGCGCGCGAGAGAAGGTTACGCGCCGCGCGGCGCCAATCTCCGAGTATGGATACTGCCGCGGGTCAGCCCGTAGACGGACTGTGTGCACGGACGAGAGCGAGGAAAGTAACGGCAACAGACCCGAACAGGGTACCCCGCCCACGAGGTCGAGGACTTGGCACCGCCGCACGACTTGACGCGCATAGGTCAGCGTGTCCTGCACGCCGACGCCGGGGGTGGGGGTCTTTTTGCGTTTCCGGCCGCGCCATGTGTCACTCGGACACACGCGGTCGCACACTCGGTCGGGCTCGCTCTTCTCGGCCACCTGCGTCGTCTCGGGATGCAGGCTCGGGGCCGTCGAGCTGGCCGTCGAGCTGGCCGTCGAGCTGGCCGCCGAGCTGGCCGTCGAGCTGGCTGCAGAGCCCGCCGCCGAGCCCGCCGAGCTTCGCCGTCGTTGTCGCGGTGGTTGTGTCGCAGCCAGGCTCGGACGTGCCGATATCCGTATCATGGCGCACGGGCTCGCGTCCCGCTCCGGCGGCGCGCAGGCCTTGAAGAACCCCACGCCGATAGCCTGCTCGCCAGCTGACGTGACCGCCAGACTGCCCCTATCCAGTGAGGCGCGTGCGTTCCGCCGTCCAAACACGAGATGCCGGGCTAGCGCCCCGTCGATCCAGATCTTGAAGTAGGAGGACGTGGCGCGGAACGTGAGGAGTGTGTCTGCGTCGGCGTACGTGAGGATCAATGCGAGGAGGTGCGGATAGCTCAGGTGTGGGATTGTGATGCGCGGCGTGGGGGAGGGGCAGAGAGTGTACGACTGCGTGTAGGTTGTGAGGAGGGAGGGGGAGGGGAGGGGCGAGTAAGAGAGCGGTGTCCGGGGAGTCCGGGGAGTCCGGGGAGTGCAGGGAGTTCGGGGGGAAGAGAGGCCGAGTCGCGGGGAGAGCTCGGCCGGTACCGCGGGAGCGAGGAGGGACATGGCGTCTCGGTGCCCGTCGGTGGAAGCACGTCGTGAAGTCGTGAAGAGTCAAATGGCACGAGGCGTCGTCGCTAGGATCTCAAGTCTCGTAGTGTTAATCCAGCGTCGGCCGATCTTCGGGCCCGATAGGAACCCTCGGTATCCCAAGTTGTGATGTCGTGATGCCCCTGCTCTTCTAACCATCTATCGATCTAGTCTCTTGTCTTATTGCCAGGCAAGCCAGGCCACAGTGTTGTTCTATGTGCAAGTTATGTGCGTCTATAGTATAAGATCGAGCGGAGCAAAGGAAAAAAAGTTGGAGAAGGAAGTGGACGATCGGCGTCTTATCTCTCCATCGAGGGCCCGATGGGTGATGTCATCCGCTAATGGCAGACGTCGTGCGTACGCACAGGTGATTGCATCCGGTCAGGCATCAATCAATTCACGCTCCAAGTGAAGCGAATGCATGGGCCCCTGCAATAGACACAGTCTGGGCATGTGGTGGACGTGTTGCGCGTGCACGAGCTCGTAGCCTGACCCGGCGAGCTGCTGCTCAGAGCATGAGCTGCACGGCGGCGTTGCTCTCGGCTGAGGTCAGCACCCGCCCGCTGCCGTCAGCCTCGCATTGGTATCAGCCGTCGCTTCGAGCACCGAGTATCTTTGAGCGTCTGCTGGAATCGTCATTCCCTGCCTCCAACCGCCGCCTCCACGACCGTCCACGAGCATCGTTGCTCAGTGTCCGGTGGCAAAACGACGTCATGATTGTTGACAGGTCAGAGGTGTCGAAAACATCGGTGCCCCACTATGCAAGGCACTAGACCTCCAGTACGACGCCTCTTACGCCTCTCTCTGCCCGCCGCTGCCATGCCGAGAGCAACCGTGCGTTCCCGCACACATGCAGGACCGAGTCGAGATCCCCGCTCGTGCCAGCCAACGTGAACGTGCACAATCTTGACTTTAGACCATACGTCAATCACCAGCTCACAATGCCCCTCGCAAAGGAAGACCTCGCAAGATTCAAGTGAGTCGACGCGTCGCGGGGTCAGGGCTGACAACAGGGTGCTGCAGTTTGACTGTTACGGCGTGAGTGCTTCGCCGGGGCCAAGATGAACACCTACCGTCAACCCGCGGGTTTGAGCCGGTGGTCTCAAGCCTGCGGGGTCAGGGCTGACAACAGGGTGCTGCAGTTTGACTGTTACGGCGTGAGTGCTTCGCCGGGGCCAAGATGAACACCTACCGTCAACCCGCGGGTTTGAGCCGGTGGTCTCAAGCCTGCTGCTGTGCACGTTCACCCCCCCCCCCGAGAGACTGCAGATCGAAATCAGGAGCCTTATCAGCGTCCAGCCAACCTCTAATCGATGCCGCTGGCTAACCTACAGACCCTCATTGATTGGGAAACGGGCATGAAGGACGCACTGAAACCGCTGAGCGACCAGCCCGGCGCGCCGGACCCGGACACCATCCTCGCCACTGTTGGCAAGCATGCGCAGCACATTGAAGGCGACCAGCCGCGCACACTTTACCCGGACGTGTGAGTCCTATTTGAATGCTGGCCCTGGAGAATCGGACCATACTGACCGTCCAGTCTGGAGCACGCGTACGAACAGGCAGCGGACGAGCTCGGTCTGAAGTGGACGCAGCGTGAGTATGTAACGGCCGGGGAATGACACCACACGCCCGGCGACCGGCGACCGAGCTCGGCAACACCCCATGCTAACGATAAGGTGACGCCGAACTGTTCGGGTACAGCTGCCCACGCTGGCCCGAGTTCCCCGACAGTGCCGACGCGCTGAAGAAGCTGCACGAGCTCGGCTTCAAGCTGACAGTGCTGAGCAACGTGGACAACCGCAGTTTCGAGGGGACGCGGCGCGTGCTCGAGCGCGGCTTCAACTTTGACGCAGTCTACACAGCGGCCGATATTGGGAGCTACAAGCCCAGCGCGCAGAACTTTGAATACGCCATGAGCAAGGACTTTGATCAATTCGGGACCGAGCCGAGGGAGATTCTCATTGTCGCCAATAGCAAGCTGCACGATCTCGAACCGTGAGTCGACTGTGTTCTACGTAAGCTCCGCTGGATTTTGCCTACATGCGCCTGGCTCGATCCGATCCTGTTGGGGGTCCGTGGCGTGTCCCTGCCTTTTCAGTTTACGGAGCCGAAGGTTGACTCGAACGCGCTCGCTGACTTCCATAGCGGTCGCAAACTCGGCTTCAAGGGCGCCTGGATTGATCGCAAGGGCGCGCACCTCGGCGTCACGGGTCAGGAGGACTTTGAGCCCGACTGGACATTCAGCTCCATGGCCGACTTTGCCGATACTGTCTCGTCTGTGCTGGGCGGCAAGTCGATCCACGCGTCCAAATCAGACGAGGCGAACCAGGTGCTTACCAACGACGAGGAGGCGTGCAAGCCGCACTTCCCGTTGAGCACGGCTTGCTGATAATTGTTGTTGGGACTTGTAGCGACGTAGGTATGTTGAGATGAAGACTGCATGACGTACACTGCTACACTACTCTACCCGATGACTAACCCCTACTTTATGACTAAATGATTGAGTGATGACTAAAAACTACTTGTGACAAGAAACAATATAACCCATGCACACAGCGTCCAGAGCCGCTTAGTACGTGTAGACGAACTCGTCGTTCTGCTGGTCGGTGAGGTCGAGGAACGCCTGCTGGCCGAGGGGGTTTCCGTTGGCGTCGACCTGCGTCTCGTCGGCCTGGGAGAACTTGGCGTTGAGGGACGAGTTGTGGATCTTTGCGGGCTTGCCGTGCGCGACGCGCTCGGCCTCCTTGCGCTTGTTCATGACGAGGAGGACGCCCCAGAGGCCGACCGTGAGGCCCATGCTGGCGACGAAGAGGCCGAGCACACCGCCCAAACCGGGGTGGTAGCGCGGCGCGTCCTTCTCCTGGAACAGGAAGGGGCCGACAATGTTGCCGACAGCAAGACCAGAGTTGCACAGCGAGATCGTGAGCGACTTCTTGGTGTGGCCAGCAACGTTGGCCGCAACCCAGGAGAACATCAGCGGGTTGCCGCCGAACAGGAAGCCGATCAGGTAGTAGCCCGCCAGCATTGCGCCGCGCGCCTGGTCCGGCGTCAGGGCGTAGAGGAGCGCAGCACCGATCACACACGGGACCATGAACGCAATGAAGACGATGCCCTTGTACCGGAACCGGGTCGCGAGGTAGCATCCACCGAGGCAGACGGCGGTCTGCACAAAGCCGAAGGGAATGTTGAGCAGAATGGTCTGGCGCGCGTTGAAGCCAAAGCCCTTGATGAGCAGGGGACCAAAGGTGTTCGTGACGGCCGCGACCGTGTTGATGCAGAAAATGAGGAGGAAGTAGAACCAGACCGGAATAGAGAGGAAGACCTCGCGAACCTGGTCCCAGCGGATCGTCTTGTTCTCGACACCCGTGTTGTTGTCGCGGAGGCGCTCGACGGCCATCTTGCGCTCCATTGGCGTCAGGAAGCGCGCAGTGGCGGGGTTGTTGTCAAGGCGCCAGTAAAGCAGCGGGGCGGTGAGGACGGTGACGAGGCCGACGAACAGGAAGAGGATCTGGTACACGTACAACGGGCCCGTGGTGATGAAGCTCAGCGCCCATGTCAGCAGCGAGCCGAGCATGGAAGCGACGCCGTTCGTGCCGTACCAGAGCGCAATGCGCAGCGGCTGCTCGTGCCTGCGGTACCACGTCGTCGTGATGACGGTGAAGAGGGGGATGTTGACGGCCTCAAAGAGTCCGAGCAGGAAACGGTTGCAGAGGAGCGGGCCGAACGACTTGGAGAATGCGAGACCGATCATGCTCACACCCCAGCAGAAGATGCACGCGGACATGAGGATGCGCGTAGGCACCTTGACGATGAGTGCGGCCGTGGGGCCGGCGCAGAGAGCAAGCTGCGCCCAGTATCCCGAAGACGAGATGAGCGAGTACTGGTTGCCGACGAGGTGCGTCTGCTCACGCATGCCGAATGCAGCGCCATAGCCGACCGCCGACTTGTCCAGAATCTGCAGGAAGTACACCCTGTTCGTTAGCCATGCTTCTCTCGCGTCTGTGGGTACAAGTCTCGCGACTCGAGGATATGGGGGGACGTTTTCGGCGCATATCTCGCCGCCGCCGCCACCCGTCCCGCTGGGGTCCCCGCAACCCCTTGTGTGCCCACCCAACAATTCCCTTTCGGCGCTAATACGCGCAGGAGCTTCCCGCCTTCTAGTGCGATCGCTCCCACGTAATCGCCCGAATGTTTGGGTTTCGCCATCGCCGGGATCGCGGAGGTCGTGATGGGCTGCGCCGCTGCTCCACGACCCGTGCACCTGACCGACACGGGGCTCGGTACCACGCTCCACAAGCGTGCCTCACATGTCACAAACGCTTGGACCAAACACTCACCACATGAGCACCGGCATGATCGCCCTGTCGATCTTGCGGCAGATACGGCGCGAGTCCTCGTCGGTCATCACGATGCGCTCTCCCTCGCCGAGCGCCTCGAGCGCCGCGTTCTTGTTATGTCCATGGTGCCCCTTGTCGCCGTGGGTGAGGACCGACTCGTCGTGCAGAATGTCGTCCTTGTCCGTCGACTTGACGGGGGACAGGTCAGCCTGGCTGTCAGCGGGTTGGCTCCCCTTTGTCGTCGTGTCGCGGGGAGGGGTGGACTCACTGTCGGTGGTGTGGTGGGAGACATGGTGGCCAGCAGATGTTGATGGAGGAAAAAACCAGGATCGACACGGCACGCAGACTTATAATCTCCTCTTTCGACCCTCGCTTGCCTTGGCCGGGTGTCGACAGCCGGCATATCACGGCTAGCTCTGAGCAGCCTGTTTCTGCTGCACGCAGCGAGCGCTTCGATACCGGTATTCTGGGTTCTTGGCGGTCGTATTCCCCCGGCTCTTGCGGCTAAGTGCGCGTGCACGGCGTAAGGGCGGGGAGGTGGCCGCGGTGGCTCTGGCAGGATGAGGCCCAGCGGGGCTCTTCCAGCTGGGCCACCTGAGGCGCCTGGAGAGCGCACGAGGGTGGGCTTACATGATCGAGTCAGCGCCTGGGTGGCTTGGTTGGGGGAGCCGGGAGCCCCGGGCCGGGTGCCGGGGCCCTGATGCTCGGGTCATTCGTGTCGTCTGCATGAGAATGGCAGAATAAACGACCCTTAATGCGCAAGGTTCGAATTGCGAGTTCCTGGAATCAACCTTCAGTTCAGTGCAGAGCTGCAGAGAGCAGCGGGGAAACCGACAGGTATGGGAGGGAGTGCAGGGTCAAGACGTCAGGACAAGGATCTGGGGGAGATTTCACTCTCCACCGCACAACACCCTCTCCCACCTGGCCGGTGCTTGGCCGCTCCGGCCCGGAAGCGCCGTCAACACTGGACACGGTTCGAAAGCATAGGTAACTGACGGCAACTCAAGGTATTAGCATTCGTTCCGACCTCGGCGGCATCTGGCGGTGCATTGTCGCTGCTTCGGCCGGCCATTCGTCTAGCACAACTTGCGGGCACCGCCGTCTCATCGTGTGAGGGGAAACGGTATCAAGCGGGCGACGGCATAAGACGGAGTTGCAGACTGGATCGGCATCTGCAGGCGAAAGTAGAGATGTCAGCCAAGCTTAGCTTCCCAGTGGCTGCCGGCCCGGTCGGCACGGTGCGGCTCGAGTCTGGGCGATCTCACGTTCGCCGCTCGTTGTAGGCCTGTCGGGCTTCGGATTATTCGTGGATATCGCGGCGTGAGAGGGATCTCCATACGCGCTTGCGCTTGCCCCCGCAAGATAGTTAACGGCCGTCGAAACGTAACTTGCTTCTCCCCTCTTCACCACTACTGTGCTCGAGCGATCTCGATACCCTACCACTTGAGACTCTCTTTGCATTGCGTATTTGTCCTTGTCCCGGCAAGTACCGGCATCGAGGCTCTAATCGTCGGCACAACGCGGCCTGCAGATCACGTCGGACGTGAACAACGGCCACCACTTCCGCCGTGACATCACGATACCGCGACTCGCTCCGGGCTTGACGTTCGGCATCGCCGCTGCCGAAGACACATGCACACACATGTCACTGTAGCGCCCGGCAAGTGCCGGGTCTCTCTTTCTGGAGAGCGGCACAGAGCGGCTACGATGCATGAGATATCAGCGGCGAGCCATCATGGCCAGGAACTGACATCATATCGCAACGGTTCAAGACGGCCATTGCGTCTCTCAACTTTCTGCACCTAGCCGAAGACACATGCTCACTGATGCAGCGGACGACAGGGGACGGCGGTAAGTGCCGGCTTTAGCTGCTTTAGCTGTGGGCTCGGAGATGACGTGTGGAAGCGGAGCAGTCCTCGCGGCGATCAGCGGTTCGCGGCGGCTTACTGGTTTAGCCGCAGAGAAGCCCCGACGATATCAGTCACCGCACGCTCCAGTGTGCCGCAGAGTTACGCGTCCGCACGCTTCGACACGGCTACAGACGGACTATACAGTGATGTTCTCAGGCAGATCGGGCCGGGGCCTGTTGTTGACGTTGGCATCTTGGGGCGTGACGGAATGAAGGCATAGCGGCTATCTTCGGGTTATCTTGGGCGCCTCCAGGAACAGTTATCGCTGGGGTGCACCTTGACACGGTTATCTGGGCTATCTAAGCCCACTTCGGCGCGGCACAAGGCGGCATGCCCGTTGCTCTCTCTCTTTCTCAGCAAGGAAAGGAGGGTCGTCATGGCATTCATGTTCGTGGGGCTGGCGTTGAGGTCTTGTACATCAGTGTTGATCACGTCAGCCAGCGGCCCCTTCGGGTTCTGAGAGACGATCAAAGCTCAAGAAGCGAGAAGCAAGAAGCAAGAGCATGGCATTGGGTACTGCAGCACAAACAGCACAAGTCAGACTACGGGTTACAACACATCCCACTGTAGGCAACGCCCCTTCTATCTCTACGCTCCTCTAAGATTTCAGTGTCCATTCTGCACAGACTGCACAGGCGAAGACGGGGGAAAGAAGCCCGACTCTCGCCACACCTCGACCCACTTGCTCACGAGGCCGTCGTCAATAGGTCCAAGGCCGCGCATGACCTGACACCTCTCCTCGGCCTTCCTCGTATCGAAAGCAGGGCGCGCCTTCTCTATGTCGCCCCCGATCCGTCCCTCGTAGAACGGGAGCAGCTTGCGCGTCGGATTCGCCGCCACGTCGGGATCGCTCTCGGCCAGCCGCCTGAGCCACTCTCGGCGCGGCACGGTCTCAAACGCCACGCCGGCTTGGCGGAGGCCGGCCAGGATCGACGCGAAAGGTGCAGTATGCCGGTTCAGAATGTGCAGCACACCATCCCCTGAGGATGCGAGGGCAGCCTGGGCCACGGCCTCTCCCGCCTGATCGACAGGGAGCCACCCGACCTCCTCCTCGAGAGCCGGGAGTGCGCCTGTGCTAACAGCAGAGCGGAACATGAGGGGCCACGCCTCTGTCTCGTTCCACACGCCGTGCGTGCTGTCACCCACCAGCTGGCCGATGCGGAGCACCGTGCCCCGCGTCTGCGCGAGCACACGCTCAACGACCCACTTGCTCCGCGCATACCCCGTCGCGCCCGCGTCGGCCGGTCGGTCGGAGAAGTTTTCCATGATGGTCGGAGCGTCGGCGGCCTGCACGGCGCCAACGGACGAGGCGAAGAAGAACCCCGGCTTGGGCGCCAGTGGCGAGCCCTGCGTCAGGTTGAGCAGGTTCACCACCCCGGCCACCGAGGGCTCGAAGCTCCCCAGCGCGGCGGCAAAGTTGACGGGCCACGCGAGGTGGAGTACGCCGGTGATTGAGTCGCGGACGTCGGCGAGGGCGTCTCCGAGTCCCAGGTCGGGCAGCGTCAGGTCCCCGGCGTAGCTGGAGATCCGGGACCAGTCTGGCTCGAGGCGGCGCAGCGCGAAGGAGTGCGCGAGCCGGTCCTGACTGTCAGCGTGCGAGGCCGCGCGCGAGAGACAGATGATGCGCACGTCCGGCCGGCGGAGGAGACAGGCCACAGCGTGCGCGCCCAGACTCCCCGTCGCGCCCGTGACGAGGATGACGGGGTCGCCTGGGGCCCTTCTGCGCGGCGTGGCGGGGACGACCCGCGCAGCCCACTTGGACGCCATGGCCTCCATCTCGTCGTAAGCGCTGCGGGTCCCGTTGGCATGGACAGAGTGCGAGGCGACAGCGAGAATGTGCTCGGCGAGTTTCGATACACTCGGGTACTCGTACACCACGTTCTGGCCCAGTGTCGCGCCCCCGAGGTCGAGTTCCTTCTGCGCCGTGTTCCGCACGCGTGTGGCCTGCAGCGAGTCGACACCAAAGGCGAACAGGTCCGTCTCCCGCGTGATCCCCTCTGCTCGGCTGCCCAGTGTCCGTCCAAGGAGTTCGAGGAGATACGTCTCTGCCTCGTTCTCCCCGTCTATCCTCCTTTTCTCCACTGCGCCGCTCCCGCCCTCGAAACGCCGGTACACCTCGTCGATGATCGGGGCAAACTTGCGATAACACGCGGGCCGGAGGATGCTCATCTTGGTCGCGACGGGGACTTCGGTGCCCGGGGCTAGGATCTCGACCATCTCGGGAAGCAGGCGGGAGTGGCTTGGCGCACGCGCGTTCGCAGCCGCAATCACGGGCCACACGGCTTCGACGTACGCTGCGCGGTTGCGCGAGAGCTCGGCCCCCGTCTCGGACGGCAGCAGCAGGGCGCCGACCTGCGGCCGCCCGTCGCCGAACACGATGCATTCCTGGATCAGTGGCGAGTTGCCCCGCTAGTAACGTCAGCCAACATGCAACCCTTTCAACTCACAATGTCGAGCTCGATCGGAACCGGGTTCGTCTTCTCGCCGAGCGTGAGGGTGAGCGTGTCGTCGAGGCGGCCGACGTATTTGACCCAGTCGTCGTGCTCGGGGTGCTTCACGAAGAGGTCTTTCGTGCAGTAAGCCCCATCCTCGCGGTTACTCATGACCTTGCCTGGCCAGCCGTCGCGGACGACGGCCTCGTACGTCCCGCTCCCCCGCGGCACGAGGTCGAGGTAGGACGCAATGAGGCCCTCGACGCGGAGCCAGTTCCACGCCTTGTCGGCGGTATAGTCCCGCCGGCTCGTGAGCAGGGCGCCTGTCTCGGTCGTGCCGTATTGAGAGTAGAGCGGGACGCCGGCTGACACGAGCCGGTCGCCTAGCTCGTCCGGCACCGCGGCGCCCGCAAAGGATACGGCCTCCATGGACGCGAGCGACTGGACACCCGCCGGGCTTTCGGCGAGCAGCTTCAGGACGTAGGGCACGGCAAAGTGCTGTACTGGCGGAGTGGGCGAGGAAGCAATGCAGCGCACAATGTTCGCGGCCGTGATCGGCCAGTGAGGCGGGAGGAGCGTGAATGCCTTGCCGTGGTACAGGCAGCGGAAACTGGGTGTCAGCAATGCGGCGCCTCCTCGGCTATCGAGCCGTAATCATGCCACCACTCTCAGACTCTCAGCGCTAAGGCTGATCGCGCCTCCCATCCGATCGGCCCTCTACATCCCCCGTCGGCCATCCCATAGCCATCACACAGCCCAGCCGGTCCAAACTTCACGCTAATGTTGGCTAGCTCGCTCGGATTCCCCGCGCTCGCTCCCACCCCCTTCGCCACCATCCTGACCACCATCCCCGACCTCTCCAGCACAGCACGCAACTTACATAGAGAAATGTCCAAAGCCATGATACAGCGGCAGCGCGCTGAAACCCGTCTTGGGCACGCTGACGGCGGCGTTGGCGACCATGCCGTAGTGCGTGACGAAAACGGGTTTCGGGAACCCCGTCGAGCCGCTGCTGTGCAGAATCACACAGGTGCGTCTGCTCTCCTGCTCGGGGCTCAGGCGGGGTGGGAACGCGCAGATCTTGGCGGAGCGCACGCCCCCAGGCCCCCAGAGCGGGAACCGTCTGTCCTCGACGAGCTGTAGCCTCGGCGCGGTTGTCCTGGCCTTCGAGCCGTTCTGAATGGGCTGTGCTAATGTCGTTGGAGCGAGCGACCCTGTGCCGGGGTCCTCACGGTCACCGTTGAGGATCCGCGCCGCCTCGGCCGCGACGGACGCATACTTCGGTCCGTGAATCAGGTGCGTCGCCCCCGTCTCGGCGCAGAGATGCGCGACCGCCTCGGCGCTGTTGTTCACGCTGAGGAGCAGGCTCGTCAGTCCCAACTTGGCCAGCGCAATCTCGAGCAGACTCTCGTCCACCGCCGTGCTGACCAGCACAGCAATGACGCGTTCCGGCGGCTCCTCCCCCTCTTCCACCTCGGGCTGCATGGCGAGCGACGCATAGTGCGCCGCTAGCCGGTCCACGGCACGCTGTACGTCTGAGTATCTGTAATATGTCAGGAAAGTTGGGAAAGAGAGGAGAAAGGAGAAGGGCCGGCGGCTTACGTCAGTGTAAGAAGCGTATCGCCGAACTCTGGCGCGCCGGTGTGCACAAAGGGCTCGTCGGCTTGTGTCTCTGCATTCGTCAGTTGGACGAGGGCAGGGAACGACGTACCTGCTCGCAGCGCGACGAGTTCGGTAAGTGATCGGGCGTGGAAGACGGGGGCGACCATGACTGCAGGTATGTGGGGGGTGGTGCCGAGGTCGTGGCCGGAGTTGTCGAGGTTGTTCGCCGGGATGCTGCTCGAGTAGCGTGGGGTAGTGGGCGCGGTGGGCGCTGCGGAGGTCGGGCAAAGATCGCAGTCGCAGTCGTAGTCGAGCCCGATGTCGCGAGTGACTCTTGGTCGTGGAGTAAGTCTAAGAGTAATGGGTAGTGGGACACTGGGTCAAGGGATGTTCGGGCCGGTAGCTTAAGTGCAACTCTCAACAACTCTCACTCTCTCTCTCTCTCTTTCCACTACACACCGCAGACCATATATGCATGCACGCTTGAACCAAAATCGGCCCGGTCCGCCGTCCGCGCCCTCCATCTCTCCTCCTGCGCCCCCCCC